TGATGACTGTTGTATACATAACTTAATATCCGAAGTAAACTTTTTGGTTGGGTCAGACTCCAATAGCTCAAAGTCATCACCTTGGATAACATCGTTAACTTTCTGGCTGTACCCACTACTCTCCATAATAACAACAGTATTGCCTTTATCGGCTTTAGTAACAATAAGGTCGTTTTCCCTTACTCTCTGCTTTAGGGACTTAAAAACTGGGAACTCAGGATTGAAATGGAAAGACGCGGGCACAATGGTAGACAGGTGGGTGGTAACAGTGGTAGAGCCACGCGGCAGCTTTTGCTGTCGCACGGATGGGCCGGCTCGAACCAGGGTAGTACCACGACCTCACAGAAAACCAGCGTGAAGTAGAGGTTTACCTCTGCGTTTCGCTTGGTGAGTGCAGGTGGCCGGAGGCCCTTTTTACTGGAAATGAGGCATTCCATCTTAGTCCTCACGGGTGACAACGCATCTACATTTTGATTTGTAACAGAGGATAGATGTAGATGTCTATGGGCCGCAGCAACCACTTACCATCAGGTGGACTGTGTGCTCGTTTGTCACCCTCATCCTATAAAATAAAAAAAAGCCCGAATTTCATTAGCTACCAAACTTTGTTATCTTTCTTCCCGATCACAACAGCCACCTCCGCGTCAACAACCATAGTCTCTAATGATTTTTGGGAGACCGAAGGTGTTAAATTATACTTTAAGCCTTTATGTAAAAGGGACAACTCATCTGTTGGAAACTGGACATCGGAAACATTTTTAACTCGGGGATAAAATTGGTAATATTTTGTATGTATGTCGTTATTACGATTACGGGATGAAGAGGATACAAGTCGTTGTAATTTACGGGACTGAATTTGATATTTCTCATAAACAGCCATTGAAACAAGTTCTCTGGCTTTCCCATCCAAAATATCAAATTCAATATTATGTAATTTATATGAAAGTTCAGAGTATAATACTTTAAGGTGGATTTTTAAATTATCTCTATTGGAAAACCAACGACGACACTCCTCATTAAGCCAAATGTTCTGAGCTTTAGAAATAGCAATATTGGCCGCTCGACTATTTGGGCTGAAACGTATTTGAATATAATTGGGAATAACATGAAGTTGTTTGCACTGCTGATTGAACCAAACATTTTGGGCAGCAATACGATGGAGTTTTGTTAATTTGACATAGAGTCTTGCCTGGTCGGCCGTGCTAGCCTTTTTAATATAATTAATAGACTCAGGCGTTACTTTGCGGAAATCCATTATATAAAAGCTTTTACAAAAATTTACTTCGCAAATATCCGCGTTATAAAATAAAATGATGTGTCTTACCTAGTATGAAGAAGCACCTCCCGCCCTCCCTCAATTGCGTGCACTATCCCCGTCACCACTACTCCCAGCACCGCTACTTCCAACACCACTACACTAGGCAAGACACACCACTGACGATAATACGACACGTGTTTCGCCTCTACACGAGGCATCCTCAGGTGATATAGACTCTACGGTGGCTAACCGCTAAGTGAGCGGCGAGCTAAAACAAGTGCCTTTTATACAAATCGATGATGCAACCGCTCTCTACCTAAGGAGCGAGCGACTGGCGCGCGCGGGAAAAACATGGATAATTTCTATGGAACAGTAAATGTGGTGATTATCACAACCAAGCGCTGCATTTCGCCGATGTACAACGTCCGTGGTTACCGCGCACATAATAAACGTACGTTGGTGGATCGGCTGCCGCGCGCGGTTGCCTCGCTGTAGATAATTGTGCGCTAAAATTGAATTGCGAGCCGAAACACAGGTTTGCCGCGGACGTACAATGCTTGCGCGGCAGCCGCGCGAAGTCGATACGCAGCTTCAGTCGAAAGGGCAAATTAAGATCAATAAAATGAGATTTTTTTATTTCGAAATTTTAATATTTGTGGACCGAAACGTAACCGGTTCGTTTGCCACCTCTTCCATAAAGAACGATGCTTCAACATCGATAGTTAGTCTTTCTGACAATATATATATATATTAGAAACACTAAATCAGGTACTTACCTGACATCGTCATTCAGATTGGATTAAATATTAATGGGTTAATAGAATACAAAAAGCTTGTTATGAAATAATTTCGCACAAACTACGCATTACGTTTTTGGAATTTAAAAACATATACTTATCACCCACGTGCTTTTTAGGGTTCCGTAGCCAAATAGCAAAAAACGAATACCCTTATGGATTCGTCATGTCTGTCTGTCTGTCCGTCCGTATACTCATACACCCTATATTGGAATAAATCCAGATGTACAAAGTCAGGTAAGTTGGTTGACAAAAATGTTACACTTACAGAACTGAACGGTTTGATCTGTCCAGATCTTTTTTGTGATACGAAGTACTGCGACGACCTCATTATTTATGCTGGGGGGAACATACCTGAGCACCCCGATTGTTTTCACCGCCCTTGCTGGTATAAATGCCTTGTAACCATACTTCTCTAAGAAGCTTTCATTTTTCAAAAAGTCGTTGGCATTAATCGCCCACGCAAACAGTGGCTCCCACAGAGTATAGTAACTGTCCTATACAGGAAGTGACTCCTATGATTTCGTTTTAAAAAATTCCCGCCAACATCAAGGGATACGCAACTAGGCAATACGCTAGTTTAACTCCTTCTTTACGACTCTCAATAAAAATCGTGTATTCAGCCAATCCCATTGTCTTGGGGAAAACTCTTTTATAATTTGATTTGTAGTATGGTTTATAAAATCATCCTGCTGCAGGTCTTGACTACGATTTGGCGGTTTGCTTATGTCTTTATCTATGCCGTCACTATCAGACGACATTTCTCATTATTTCGTATGACAATTAGAAAATTTTCCTTCAGAAGTTAAAGTTAAAATTAGGCTTTTGTAATTTTAATTTAAAAATACGCGCTTCTTCGTCCCGCCAGTCAGGAAGAATCTTCCACTAACAATCAGATAATATCTGTCTGTGATTTTTATTATGTTAGAACCTGACAACTTCTTAGACATGACAACCAACCGGGTTGGGATAACTATAATTACCAAACTTATTATGTAGGATTGAAATAAAGAGGTATATTTAGTATTTATTTATTTATCAACAGGTTACAAATAAGATCTCGTAATAAAGGAATATCTTAAATCTTACCTCCTCACTACAACGTTTCATATTTAAGTGAAGAGCTAATGTGAATCCAAATTTAAATGAGGTAAACAAAAATATTATGTTGAGTTATGATAACTTTATTATATCATGACAACAAAACTAGCTATATAGCGGTCTTAACGAAACGACATTAGTATTAGTATAGCTTTAAGATGTAATTACGGAAGCTATTAATAGTTTAATTATCACAGTCAAAATATTCTTAAATAAATTCAAATTCAAAATATTTATAGAAAGTTTAGTGTTACATTTGGCGTTCATTTAAAATATGATGTATTTTACAACTTAACCACCCTCTAAGGGTATTACAATAATATTTCTCTCTATTACTTCGTGACTTACATAACTATATTGATCATAATTAATCAAAATTTTAAAAGAATTAAATTAAATAACTTAGCTTTTATAAAATTCTAAATAACAAATTGTTTTGGTTGTAGCTAAATACTCTTTGAAACACAAAATGCGTACACAACGAACGAATCGTGTTCTTACTCTTTACCTAGCTCACTTGATCCTCTCATGTACAGCAGCCCAAACTCGAGTTAGGAAGATCCAACTCGAGTTAACACGAGCTAAGCGCAACTCGAGTTAACTCGAGGTGACTTAGCTCATCACTACTTTATATAAACCGAACCCAGTGTCTCCATGTACACGGTAATAATTATCGTAGATGCACCGTAAATTGGTCTTAACCTACCATCAAGGTAATATGGCATTACCGTGTCATATTATGTCACCGTAATACCACTGTATACCGTAATGTGCTCAAATGCTGCGTGCGAGCGCATTTTCAGCCAAGTCAATGATATAAAAACGAAAGAGAAATAAATTTTTAACCTAAACACTAACAGGAAACATTTTTCACCCATCGATCAATGAAAATAAACAGCAAAAACTGTGTTGATTTCAAGCCTACTAACGATATGTTAACTAAAATGATTAAATCCTTTTACGAAAAAAATATTGTCATGCAAGGAGAGTCAGATTCAGAACAATAGTGTTTTATTTCAGCATTTAAAAAAATCTTAGTAATTAATTTAAAGTAAATATATTTGGATTTGATTTTGTTGATTTTGTTTTGTTTCGTTGTGTGAAAAGATACACGGTAATTTATACGGTACACTTATAGTTAATCTACCGTAATTTTATCTAGAAACACCGTATTTTTACCCTTGCAACTCTCTATTTACATATGGAGACCAAAGAACCTGGCTCGATTGGGCATAGTGGAGAGCAGTTACTGCACCTTCTGCAATAATTCTGTTGGTGATATCGAACATTTCATATTTACATGTGAGTGCTTTTCATTTGACAGATTGATTCTTGTCAGTGAAATTAGTGACATAGTGCAAAATCAAGTGACAGTGCAAGATCCCTCCCGCCGCCTGAGTGATATGTTAAAAAATAGATCCTATTACGTGCCTCTATATAAATTCATCAAAAATACAGTGGGGAAATTATAATAAACCGAATAAAAATACTCAAGACTTGGCCTAAAGGTCTAGATGCCAGGCCATAAACTCCAAAAAAAAAATGGAGACCAAAGATATTTTGTTCTATATGAAGTATATTATAATATCTTTGATGGAGACACTGATGGAGTCTATCATAGACTTTCCTCTATGTATGCACTGACCGAACCCGAAAGTGACAACCATAGATAATAGTGACAACCACAGAGTACCTTTATTTAGTGACAACCCCGACTTTCAAATGACTTACGAGTTTGGCAAAATATTTAAAAAAATAAAAATGATGTTGGAACTTATATTTTGAAGTATGAAGTGTTAGTTAGTAAACTAGACAATAAAATTCAGATAGTACATATAAAAAAAATGAGAACCCGCAGTAATTCAGGGGTTCGCTTGGATTATTATCAAAGAGTAGTGCATAAGTTAATTTTAGATCACCAGCAACCTGTAACAGGATTATTTCCTGCAAGTGCTCATAATGATCATGCTTGGATTAGAGACAACCTATATTGTATATTGGCAGTGTGGGGTTTATCAATGGCCTTCAAGAAAATTGCAGATCAAGATGAGGACCGTGCTAAAACATACGAGTTGGAGCAAAGTTGCGTAAAACTTATGAGAGGTAAAATACAATATTATACAAATGTAACTTTTTTGTTTACTCATTCTGTTTAAACTGATGCTGTTTGAGTCATCTACAGAATTGGCATATATTGGGAAATAGTATTTAATTGTTAATGGATGTGAAATGATCTTTGGAATCCGTAGTTCCCTCATTCGTCAAAATAAACTCATGTCCATTGTTGGTTACATTTTTGTCCAACAGTTGAATTAGAAGTTTGATGATGACAATCATTATTTATTGTTGCATTGGTTTTTTTTTTAATAGCTGCCCAGTACTTGTATATTTCACACCAATTACTATAATTTTTAGGTCTCTTGATGGCTATGATGCAACAAAAGGATAAAGTTGAGAAATTTAAAATTACACAGCATCCAATGGATTCACTTCATGCCAAATATTCATCAATAACTGGCAGTACAGTTGTTAAAGATAATGAGTGGGGACACTTGCAAATAGATGCCATCTCATTATACCTCCTTATTCTTGCTCAGATGACTGCATCTGGCTTGCAAATTGTTTTTTCACTAGATGAAGTAGCTTTCATACAAAATTTGGTTTTTTACATTGAATCAGCTTATTGCACCCCTGATTATGGTATTTGGGAGAGAGGTGACAAAACTAATCATGGGTTACCAGAACTCAATGCAAGTTCAATTGGTATGGCTAAAGCGGCCCTTGAGGCTATGAATGAGTTGGATCTTTTTGGTGCACGTGGAGGACCTTCAAGTGTAATTCATGTTTTGGCAGATGAAGCTCAGAAATGTCAAGCTGTTTTACAATCAATGCTGCCAAGGGAATCAAATAGCAAAGAATTAGATTCTGGCCTTCTCTCAATCATAAGTTTTCCAGCATTTGCTGTAGATGATCCACAGCTAATAGCAAAAACTAGAGATACAATAGTCACAAAACTTCAAGGAAAGTATGGTTTTAAAAGATTTTTAAGAGATGGTCACAAAACACCTCGAGAAAATCCAAACAGGCTCTATTACGAGCCATGGGAGTTAAGAATGTTTGAAAATATTGAATGTGAGTGGCCATTATTCTTTTGCTATCTAATACTTGATTCCTGCTTTCAAGGCGATAAAACCAATGTTGCAGAGTATATGCAAAAATTAGAAAAGGTAATGATTAGGAAAGACGATGGAATAAAGCTTGTTCCTGAGTTGTATTCTGTGCCAGTGGATAAGGCTGATGCTGAGCAACATGAGCCCGGAAGTCAGGAAAGAATACCACTTGGCAGGTGTCCTTTTATATGGGGCCAGTCATTGTATATTCTTGGGAAATTATTGCAAGAGGTTAGTTTTATTACAATATTTATTGTTATAATCGATCAAATGTCCACTGCTGAATATAGGTCTCCCTTATAGATCATCATAGCAGCAGGTGGGCAAACCTAGCCTTTAATTTTTAATTTTTGTTAGAAAGATGCTGTTGCCCATCTCCTGATTTGTTTCCCTCTGTCTCCTCTTACGACACCCATGTTACGATATGGGTAGTGGATATTCTTACACCACCTCTACACTGTCAATATTACAATACTGTGTAAGGCTTATTTTTTTTATAGGTCTTTAAAATAACTAAATGAATCTGTATGTTTTTAAAAAAATTTCAGGGTTTTTTAGCAGTAGGTGAACTTGATCCTCTTAATAGAAGACTGTGTTCGGAGAAAAAGCCAGATGTGGTGGTTCAAATTGCTATACTTGCTGAAAACAATGATATTAGAGACAAATTGTTAGAATATGACTTACATGTTCAAACAATAAGTGAAGTAGCTCCAATAGAAGTTCAACCAGCTAGAGTTTTAAGTCATCTTTATACATATTTGGGTGTGTATTTATTGATTTGTCAGTACTTAGAACATTAAGCTTTCAATTTTTGCTAATTAAAAAAAACTGTTCACTCTGCCCACCCTATAACATTTTGAAAAAAAAATCAGATAACTTCAATTAAATCTTAAGCATGTATTCAGCAAGCATTAAGCATACAAACAACACACATAAAGTTTAAACATACAAGGAACACATACACATGTACATATGTACAGTCAAACAAACACATGCACACACAAAATAGAAATGGAAGAATCAGATTGAGAAAAAAGGGGAGAATATGTTGATATTGACTTTCAAATATTGGACCTAGGATTAAAATTCATATAATTTTATAGTGCATACTATAAATAGCGGCACGAAAGTCTAGCGGTGACTGTTATTGCACATAAGTCGCGCTGATTGGCTCATGTGTATCATTCGCACGCGCTGATTGGCTCTCCAGTCGCATTTGTGCAATTCAATACGTGCGCATCCCCTCCACGTTTCGTTCAGCAATAGACCTACGTGCCGCGACTTGTAATACTATATTAAGAAGTTGAAAAGTTAGTAAAGTTGCAGCTATACACTAATCCCACAGCTAGGCGTGGGTTTAGTCTCATTTCTGAGAGGTATATGGAGCAATTAGTCCTCACCAGTGCGTGTTAGCGGACCTCACTTGTCTTTGAAATATTTTTATTTGTCAGACATGCAGGTCTCCCATGTTGTTTTCTTTCATTGCTGTCAAGGTGACAAATCTGCACTTTGAATTGTAATCAACAATAATTTCATTAGTGCATACTCTATTGCATATATATATTGCACACTGCAAAATTTTTGGTGAGCCCTTAGCCCCTGAGTGAGGAGTGGTGTTGTGGATTTTTAATCGGACAATATTTGTATTGATAGATTAATAAGTTGCAGTTTGAAGTACATAAACATTTTTTCATCTTAAACACAAGTGTAATTCAATTATGAATCATATATAACACATGATCTATTTTTTAAACTGTTACTTGCTATGATCATGTTATCCTACAGAGAAACTCATTATCATTATTTGAATTTTTTTTAATTGTAGGTCGAAACAAAAAGTTAGGTTTATCGGGAAGAAAATCACGAGATGTTGGAATACTAAGTACAAGCAAGTTGTATTCTTTGAATGATCGCATTTTTGCCTTTACTCCACAGGTATATTTCTCTCATTTCATTTACATGCCCTAGTTTTTATTTAAATACTATTTTTGTTTTAATTTTGTTATAAAATATTTATCAAAACACACACAACCTGCAAAGTAACTGATGGTATTATTGACAGCCAAATCATAATACTTTGACAATAATGTCATCATCATCATTTCCACTGTACTAAAATTGTTGAATATATTATAAACATGAAACAATAGAGTAGTAAAGGCGTTGATGTATGTTTCATGTTGCCTTTTTTTATAAAAATGAATTGACAGTCTACCTGATAGTAATTTGTTACTGCAGTCCATGGACACCTTCACCCAACTTCAAACAAAGGAGGGTACAGATGCATGATGTAGGCAATGTGGACTAAGATGGAATGCCTCAGAACCAGTAATTATACTGGCTCTCCGTACCATTCAGACTTGAATACATCAGTGCAAGCACTGTTTTTTGGTGACAAATTAGTAGTAAAAGTTGATAGTGGCTGCTTTTACTTTGCATTATTCTCTGATCCACATGCTCGGCGATGAAGGCAAACACAGAAATGCGCTAGTGAGTAGCCCTTTATTTTTTTCTTTTTTAACTTTGTTTTCATGTTTTGAGTCGTTTAATAGGTTATAATGTTATGTTAAGGCATAAATTAATAATACAATGTTATGGGAGAAGCCACTGGCTCCTGAAACACAGTTTTACACTAGTTTGGGAGCCTATGGATTCAATGAAACATTTACTGTAATATTTTATGTCAAAAATAAAGTTTATTATTATTATATTATTATAAACATTGTGAGGAAACCGGCATGTATGAAAAATTAAAAAAAAAAATTCGTAGACGTAGGGGTTGTGCAGCGGACAGTTTCTTGCCCTAAAACCCTACCGTAACCCGTAGTGAGAGGAGCCCTGTGCCCAACAGTGGAATGTATATAGGCTGTAACTTTAACTTTTGTAAAACAATACCAGAATTAATTTATATCATATAAAAACTATTGTATTGCGCCCAATGCACATATTTGAATCTGCGGATGAATATGTGTCATATGTGGCAAAATCATGCTGCAACTATATTATTACTGTACTGTATTACTGTGGTCGGCACGACAGGGAAGGAATAGCTCACAGAATCCCAGCGTAAAATAGCAGTTTAATGCCACTGTGCTTCGTATGGTGAGTGTAGAGAACTGAAGAAGACCCTTTTTACTGGAAATGATGTATTCCATCTTAGCCCTCAGGGGTAACAATGCGTCTGCATTTTGATTCATAATTGAGATAGAAGTCTATTATCCACTACCTATCTGGTGTATTGTGTGCTCGTTTCTCACATTTATATTACCAAGAAAAAATAAATTGGGTCAATACCAATATCCTTACCTAAATAAGAGCAGCACTATCATACCACCACCTAGCAAATTTTTAAAATCTTAATAAGAAGTTTTTATAAAAATTCAATGCCAAAATCAAACCCATTTTGATTATTGACTGTGCCCTCTAATATATCACAAAGTAGCTTTGATAAGCTAAGGATTAGTAATGGATAGGTAGATGGTAATGATGATTGAGTTTCACATCTACCATTTTATTTTTTGTCACATACCATGTAGTGTTAATAAGCTGCCATTATTTAAAAAAAATATTTTAGAGCTTGTCGTATTATGAGAGATAAGCAAACTCTTTTCTCTAATCCCATTATATTGTGTTGTTTTAGACATAAATGATTTGTTTTAATGTGATATTTTACATTTTTCTTCTGTAGTATTATATTATAGGTACTATGGCATTTTTATAATTTCTTGTGCATGATATTATAATTGTTAATGCTTAATGAACTGTCTATACTTATGCACATATTTTCTTTTATTTGGTAGTTTTCTGATATGAAGCGTTTCTACATTGCTTCTGACTTTGAACTGATGGTTGATACACTCAAAGCTGAAATTAATTTCTTGAAGTCTTCTTGGCAAAACCTACTTGGGAGACCGCTTGTTGTCTTGACTTTGAATCAAATGCATTTAGGTACTATTTTATCATATTCATTTATTTAAAATTTACTATTTATTTGAATGGCTTGCTATGTTTTCATAACAGTAAACTGCATTTTTATATTATTGCATTTTAACATGATATTCAGCATGCAATTTAGTTGCAACACTTTCTATATTATGTAGTTATTAAAACACATTAACATCCGTAGTTTATTAAGAGTTGCGACATTTGTAACTTTGTCCTTTATAACAAATCAATTTTGTTTAAATTTTAGTTTTAGACTAATTCGTTAAGTCCAAACCTTCTTATTGAATTTTCGAGATAAATAAAATTGTTAATGATGACTGTGCTGCCTCATAAAAACCTCGTGATATCCTGCATGTATAGAATTTTGACTACGAGGAGTACTACATGTCTCGTGATCCGGCGCTGCTCGCGAGCACTTTTACGACGAACGTTGCTTTCCTCGGCATGAGCTGGAAGCAAATGCTAGGCCGGCCGACGATTACGTTGCTCGCCACCCAGTACCTGTTAGGTAAAAACCCTAGTAACGGTAGAATACCAAATTTGAAATAACTATAACAAAAGATGTTTTTTTTTTTAAATTTATTATCCAATGTGGAAGAGATTTATATTATAGTTATTCTAATTTGCATTACCAATAGTCTAGTAAGTATTTGTAGGAATGCTTAATTCTATGCTTTCATTACAATGAGGGCTAATAATTCTGCTCACCAGATGTCGCTAGTTACGCTGAGGTAAAGTTTTTTGTTACACAATGTCATTTAATTGATAAGTTAGTTTTAAATAAAAGTTTATCAGTTTCTAGAGTATTATATTAATACACAAAACAATGCATCAGTGGTTCGCTGTTTAATTTTTTACACATTTTGAGCTTTTTTCAAATTTTTCTACTTTTATAAATATCTGTGGTTTGGTTTATTTATTTTTAATCTTATTAATATAAAATATAGCTAATAGTACAGAAAGAAATATTAAACTTTACATTTTCCGAACTAATTAACTTCCCCGCTATGAAATCTGTCAAATATTCACCTCACTCTTTAAGTGACGCCGCTCTGGTAGCAGAAAAAGTCGTGGATGCCCTCATTGCTGAGTAACTAATATAATAAAGAAACGTTTTTGAGTGCCTCACACTATCTGCACAATATAATATTGCCTGGTGTGAACCACTTCCTAATTAATATTATTATTAAATAAATTTATAAAAATATCCATAAGTATGTATACCCCTATATCTACCTCTACATATTAAATAAAAAATATTTTTAATAATGATTTTTTATATTTTTGCGAACACTACTTTATATTTTCGCGAACATTACACATTGTATAAAAATATTTTTACGGATTTTATCGCATTTAATTTTACTTATTTTTAATTCACGACGTTTCGTGTGCTTTGCAGCACCAATGGTCACGGGGACTGAGGTGATTGACGTCCTGATGTTACCTTCGTTTTAATTATTATTTTTAGTGTGATCTATACAGAATGAGCTTACTGTATCTTGAAGTCTTGCAGTGGCTTGGGATTAGTTTTAATTTTATTAATTACAGAATTTCTAGTAGGTGGTATACCCAGCCTGGGTACTACTTGGGTAGTACTGCTTGGGTCTTATATAAGGCACGTGGATGCTGCATAGCACCCAAAACTCCGGGAATTAAAAATTAGTAATATTAGTAAATAGTATTATTTAAAGTATTTTTTAAGTTTATTTGTAATATTTAGTTAAGTGATGTTTTTTAAGCAGTTATCTGTGGAATTTGACTCCCAGTCCGAAATATTTCTCAACAGTTTATTTGTGTTACGTAACTTCAGCGTTATTTTCGAAAAAAATTAAAAAGTTTGAAAAAATCACTTCCTACGAGATTATTTGTTGATATAATTCTTCTTTTGGATTTACAATTGGACCCGGTAGGTGCGCTGTTGTCGAGATCCAGAAATCATCCGTGCGAAGCCAGGGTGGATCGCTCGTTAAACTATAATAAATAAACAAGCCTAAGATTAAATACTAGGCAGGTAGGTCACTCAATAAGTTTTGAGATGCTCTAAATTTAAAAATGGAACGCATCCGTGTTATATGTTTCTATTTAAAAATGGAACTCCATCAGCCAATTGCTCAATATTAAAAAAAAACATAGTACTATTAATTTTTGCATTACCCAAAGCTTTTCAAGCGGTGCGGGAGAAAATACCAAAGACCGGGCTTCAGGGAATCATGCTGCATCACGATAACGCCTCTTCACATACCTTCCTTAGAACAAAAGCATTTATTCAGGAATCTGGTGTTGAAACTCTAAGTCACCCACCCTACAGCCCTGACCTTGTGATTTCTTTTTGTTCCCAAGTCAAAGAAAAAATAAAAGCCAAGTTTTTTTCAAGCGCAAAAGAAGCCGTGGCTGCCTACGAAGAAGCGATTTCCGACTTGTCAGATCAAGACTGGCAAAAGTGTTTTCAGAGTTGGTTTAGGCGAATGGAACTTTGTGTAGAGCATGATGGAGAATATTTTGAAAAGATGTAAAATAAATATTATTAGTATCTAGAATACTTTTTGTATATCTCAAAACTTATTGAGTGACCTACGTATAGGCTGATAAACATATTACCCTTCTTTGTGCAGTGCATTCTGGTAAAAAGGTCTATGGTTTTTTTTAGACAAATTTATTTTTATATAATCAATTGTTATCAGACACGCTTTTGTTTGCAATAGTTCAGATGATCCCGCGATTCCACACAGAACGCTTTTTTGCCCAAATTTAGATTTATTGTTCTGATTCAATTGTTTATATCGTAATCAAGCGCAAATTGATGCTCTTTCTCTTTCGGTTAGTTGAACAAAGTAAAGCCGCGGTGCCAAGAGGAACTCGGTGATAATTTAAACCTAACCTTAAGAGTTATCCGGAATACTACTAGTAAACAATACGAGTACGCTAACGTAGGTTTTTTCTAAAAAATATATATATTCAGTTTACGTGACATTAATACCTAATATAAAATGACTGAATATAGTTAAATTTGATGTTATCTTTTGTACCATTATACATTCTTTTGTGTAATAGTTATTTGAAATACGGTTTTAAAAGTTATAATAACCTAACATTTTTATTTATTTATTAACATACATATTACGTTTTGCTTCAGACGCTATATTAAAAAAAAAATTCGTCAATAATGTATTTAAAAAGTGTGCGTCATGTTTCAGACCAAGGTAAAATTCCAATGGCCATGATAACGACTATGAAAAAGTTAAAATCTGGATACATTAACGGCACTAGAGTGATGTTGGGCAACCTCGGCGACTTCTTAAGCACTTCGGCCATAACAAATTTAAGCTTTTTGGGCAGTCAAGAGGAAGGTTACCCCGATAGTAAGTTTTATTTCTCTTGAATTTTTTTGGGATTTTTGTCGAAACAACATGCCAATCCCATCATACCTTATATACTAACTAGCTGACTAGGCAGAGGTAGTTCTGCCCTTTTCGACGACCCTTCATATAAAAAATCCTTAAATTCGTAATAAAAAAAATTGAGTGTCACTTATCAGGATAAAAACTATCCTATCTCTCAAGTTGGACCGAACTGCACAGAGTGTGCAAAATTTCATTGAAATCAGTTCAGTAGTTTAGGAGTCCATCGCGGACAAACAATGTGACACGTAATTTTTATATATAAAGATTAGGTACTACTGCTTAGTGTTCTAACGGCTGAATTACCCAGTGACAGTAACTGGCTCCAAATTCGTGGCAAGTCAGTGCTGATCCGCTACTGGCATAATGTAAATTGATTTGGAGTCAGTATAGCACTGTCGCGCCAGTGCCGATTTCAATATTCCTGCTTGAATATTTTGAAGTCAAACCACTCCCCCGCCACCGGCGCCAGCAGTGTTGACCTTGTCTAAACGACCAAGTCAGTGCTTGGTCAGTCGCTGGCTTAGTGTTGTAGGGTGACATCGCGTCGTATCATAAAATTATAAAATATATAGATTAGTAAATGAGAGTAAATGAACGCTTTTTTATATTACTGAAAGCATGCATGATACATGTATTTATATTAATTATATAATTTATATTCATGAAAATACATAACATGGAAACGTAAACACTTGTTTACGCTTCCATGACTACGTTATGTAGTTCCTTAGGATTTTATCGGACTGAACCTGCTGAGATGCCTGCCACAAGCAGCAGCTCTTTGGGATTTTATCCCCCCGAGCGAACTTCGATTAGTCCTAGATATGTAAACCCTAAGCAAGTAATCATTACATCCTACAGTAACAGAACCTTGAATAACAATGAAGTTGAGCATGAAAGCAACAATGAAACTAACATAATTTACCATTCTTTTGAAAATTCTTAGAACTATTTTGATTTTATGTGACTGTTGATTTTTGATTATCCCTAATAAATAACTATCTGACTTTAATTTGTATTTTCAATGCTGCATATATTACCCAGCATACTTCTGGTATTAAATGAGAAATAGATGGTTTCGATACACGATAAAAGTGACTAAAGTTACGAAATGACATTCCTGAAGCCAAAAATATCAGTGTTACTTCGAGTTTTATTTTGGCTGGCAAAGCATCTCTCATGAATGTTATCTTGTTTGTTTGAATTCCGCAGTATCTTAAAATATTAATTGATTCAACAACAAAGCAGAACCTCCAGTTTCTTTTCTGTCGTCTATCCATTTTCTTATCCAACGTTTTTTTTTACATAATTATCTCTTCTTCTAACATTTCCGTCAACTCTTTCAACAGCAGATAAGAACACTTTCTCAACAAATAATTTAATCGTTGTAAATTCTGCCGTTTCCGTGAATAATTTTTGCTTAACATAATTTACTTCAATAACGTGCGTATACCCTAAAGAAGTTACCACGACTAATAACTGCGGCATTTTATCCATTTTCTTTTTCAGAACTAAACCCACAAGTTCAAAGTTATTTGGAGGAGCACCTGTTGAAATCGCTCAGCAATAAACTGAGCTTCCTCTCGCGGCCGACCGGCGCTCCGAACGCGAAAATTCTACGTCGCCGAATGTCTGTGAAAGGCGCTATTAAAAAGACGCGTTGCATCAATGTTGATTGTAAGTCTTTTGTCTGTTTACAAAGCTCATCAGTCAGTGTACCAAAGCCTTAACGTGATCTCTGAAGCCGCATTAATTAATAAAATAACTCGTGTCAGTCATTATACAGTAATAGTTCCTATTTGCAGCGGACACATTAGGAATGGAAGGAGAACATGTTGGCCCACATCTTGAGAGAAAACCCTCCTGGCTGGAAGTGGACCCGATATTGGGCCGTAGTCCATCGCCCGAGGACGCTAAAAAGAAAGTTATAACCAAGTAAGGAATATTATTCACGACGAATACTATTCATAAAAATTAAAAAAAAACTATATATTTTAATTTGTTTTTGTTATTAAGAGGTACATCCACAACTTCTTTGGGTATTGTGACGCCTACAATCGAAGTGACAAAAGAACAAACACCGCCACCACCGAAGGGCACAGGTAAGAATTTGGATCTTTATAAATATATCGAAGTAAGTAAAACAGACTACACAGACCACCTGATGGTAAGTAGATGCTGTTACTCATAGTCGCTAACATTATTCTCAATTAATCATCAAAATGATATGCATTATCACCTCTGAGGACTAATGTTAACCTCATTACTAGGGACTACAGGAGCTAAACGCAATTTTTATAATGCCTTTAAAGTATATGATCCACTGCAGTAAAAAAAAAATAGGAAAATATACGATATTTTTCAGGATATATGCTAGTTAGATAATGTATTGAAAACATGATACTACTAATTAATCGAAAATTAAATTACTAATTAATCGAAATTGATAGAAAAAAATCACAAAGATAGCTCTTTTTAGTCTAATCAATTGATTTTTGTGAAATCGCATATTCTTATTTCTGAACATAATACGTACGCATGTGTGCGTAAACGCCTGTGTACCGACTGTGCCGGCTGAGGCCTGATGCAATATAAAAATTGTGTAAATGCGTGCGTGCGTCATTCGAGGTCACTTGCTCTTGTAGTCCTGTTAACAGAAGAAAGGAGGCGTCGTTACATAACATGCAAAGCAATACACTACTCATACTTTGCTATGTTTTAGTTATCCTATACGTAAGCGTGAGCTGACACTGTTTCTTAGATTTTCTTATCTAGCAAACGTGTGAAAGCCTAAAAAAATATTTGATTAACATTTTAAGAAAGCAATTTTTACAAATTTTTCATTGGAATTAAATTTAAATTTTCAAATTATGTGGTTGATTAAATTTGTAAAAAGTATACAACTATGAAAAAATGCGTAAATTAGATAAATATTTTATTTCAATCTCCTTGTAATCAAGTTTGAAAAATATGCGGGTTATAGCTCTGCATCAAACTTGAAAAAGTGTGCTTTTTCTACTGGCTGAGACAGTAACTGACAAATCTATCTTAAAATATTCCAAAGTTTATTTTATATTTACAATCTTGTTAAATTCAATTTTACCAGTCTCGAATACTTAGCCTATAAAATTGAGGAAAGTGTATGCACAGATTGCATAACTTAATTCCTCCCTCTCCCTTCCACCATCAGAAAACCATACGCTCGACTAGCCACCACCTCATTGTTGTTGACATACCACGCATTCGAACCAAACAGTTTGCTTCATCATTCGTAATGCGTACAATGAGGAGTGGAATAATTTGCCATTACCTGCCTTTCCATTCGATTACAGTGGGTTGTCTTCAAAGCGGGAGTAAATAGGCTTTTGTAAAAGCGGTGGACTTTTCCACCGTCGCCTACGTAACCACTTCCTCCTCCCTCGTGGGGTATTTTCAGAGTAAAGTATATTCGGCTTATCATTTCTCAGGTATTGTAAATAAAAGCACACCATCGGTAGGGCGCAACAGGACAACATCCGAGTCGCAGAACCTCTTGTACGCCGAGCAGGAAACCGACGAACTGATCGTAATGCTTCGTGAAACTGAGAATTTGGACGAACAAGGCGACATATTGCAGTATTTAGTGGACACGCAGGGGCTTGACTTTAATACAGGTTTGTTATTGTATTTTTATTTAAAAAGTAAAGTAGCGGTCTACATAAGTTCCACAGCTAAGTACTGGCTTCCTCTCAATTCTGAGAGGGTTTAGGAGCGGGAGAGTTCGCACTGCCCTGCATAAATATTTGAACCAGCGCAGCGCGCCGCAACCAAACGCTTTTTTTTATGGGATAGGGTGACAAACGAGCACACAGTCCATCTGATGGTAAGTGGCTACTATGACCCATAGACATCTACATCTATCCTCAATAAAGACTCAAGATGCAGATGCGTTGTCACCCGTGAGGACTAAGATGGAATGCCTCTTTGCCAGTAAAAAGGGTCTCCGGTTCTCTACACTCACCATACGAAACACAGCAGCGTTAAGCTGCTATTTTACGTTGGTTATTATACCGGAAATAGTTTTGTTTCATACAGAGAGAGGTTAAGTTAAGAAGATCATTTGTTTCCCCGAGATGTATTAAGTAAAGAAAATTATTTAAAAGAACTTAATATAATTTATCAAATAGCGGTCTCTAACGGTTTTTCAAAAAATCTCATTAACAATTGAATTAAAAAGAAACAAAAGCATGTTGTTTGCAACTCTCTGTACGCGGTTCAACCTCAAAGTGTTCATCGATATGTGAGCAGTTTGACCTACTTAGGCCCCATATCTGAAAAAGTAGCTAATACTCTTCAACAAAACGGCGTTTATGTGGCGTGCTCTCTAATAATAGAGAGCCTCGCAATATGGTCGTTTGTCATCCTCATGGTGATCGGCGATTGGTTGCGTGGTTGGAGGGTGGGCGTTATGCGGCGGTTTGTTTTAATTTTACAAACGGCTGCGTAAGTCCGGCTGTGATTGGTCGCATGTTTTATCGCATGACGCAGTCGCTCGCTCCTTAAGTAGAGAGCGGTTGCGTCATCGGTCTGTATAAAAGGAACTTGTTTTGGCTCGCCGCTCACTTAGCGGTTAGCCACCGTAGAGTCTATATCACCTGAGGATGCCTCATGTAGAGGCGAAACACGTGTCGTATTATCGTCAGTGGCGTGTCTTGCCTAGTGTAGTGGTGTTGGGAGTAGCGGTGCTGGGATTAGTGGTGACGGGGATAGTGCACGCAATTGAGGGAGGGCGGGAGGTGCTCTTCATACTAGGTAAGACACATCATTTTATTTTATAACGCGGATATTTGCGAAGTAAATTTTTCTAAAAGCTTTTACAAACGCTTTAGCCCAACGCTATCAAACCGTGATAATAATTTTTCTTTTAATAATTAGTCGTGCAGGTTTCCTCACGGTGTCTTTCTTCACCGGCGAATACGGCCGGCGAGTATTGCAAAAGTACACTTTACTAGTGATATAAATTTCATCTACTTTTGTGAAGTTTGAAAATAATAATAGTGAAAACTATTTCTACCCTAATTCCTATCAATATATTTTTATAAATATCTATGTTAATTTTTAATCAGGTATGCTAGAAAATGGTAAGCCGGTAACAGTGAAGGACCTGCTCAAAGCACTATACGAGAAGGCATGCACTCAGAAGCTGTGGGGTCTTGTGCGGCACTCCGCTGGTATGCTGGGGAAACGCGTGGAGGATCTGGCGAAGGCTGTTACGGACTTGCTGGTGCGGCAGAAGCAGATCACGGTGGGCATGCCGCCCAACAACGAACACACCATCACCGCCCCATTGCCAGAGAATGAGCTGCGACAGCTGATTCATCTGGTAAGTGTTAATTGCAAAGAAATTTTTTTCTTTGAGAAAGGTTACAAATAATAGTTGTAACCCTGTTCTGTGAAGAAGCGGCAGGAAGCCCAGTAGATTTTTTTTTAAGTAACACTTTAAATTTCATTGTTCAGCTATATACAAAAGTTTATATCAGTCAAAATTCCTTAAATTTTATTCGCTAGGTGGAGTTAAAAGTTTGTCAATGAAATTGCCTTTCTGCAGTACTGGGCATTTCAAATGAAAATAATTTTTGTTTGGCTAAGAACTCTAATTTCGAATTAATTTTATTTTAAAAACATGGAATTCTTTAAAAAAAATTAATCATTTGTTTATTGATTAGCGTTGTGTTTTCATCGCATTTGAATTTTTTTCGTACTCATGGATACGTTAAAAATTAGTAGTATAGAGTAAATTAGTAGTTATGGAGTATGAGTACCGTCGTAGCAGCAACGCGGCACAAGCGGCACGCAACATCAACGACGTTTATGGAGCGAATACTACAAACGAACTCACCACCTGTTTATTGGTTTGCCCGCTTCCGTTCTGGAAATTTCGACCTGAAAAATGAACCCCGTGGTCGTCCGAAAATATTGGCCGACTATGAGACTTATAGGTGATTGTGAAAGCTATATATATACTCAATCTACGTCTGAATTAACAGCTTTCGACGTTAGCATCAAAACAATATTTATAATTTTTAATATACTTTCCTTTGTCCTACTGGAAGATATTTCAGCAAATTGTGGAATAAATAGGACCTTTGTACAAACTAAATAAATAAATAAAAAAACAATATTGGTCCATTTGCGTCAAATTGACAAGATAAAAAAAGCTTGACATATGGGTGCCCCACGAACTCAATGATCGCCAGCGCGAAGTACGCGTAGTGACGTGTTTTGCACTGCTCAACTGGCACACAAACAAAGGAATTTTGAACCGCATTGTTACCTGCGACGAAATATGGACTCTATTTGACAATCGCAAGCGCTCAACAAAGTGGTTGGATCCTGGTTCAGCACCTAAAAATGCTCTAAACGAAAACTTAGCCCTTCTATCTAGGGCTAGGGTGATGGTCACTTTTTGGTGGTCTAGCGCCTGTGTGATTCATCACAGCTTCTTACCAAACGAGATAAGCATTACTGTAGATGTGTACTGTGAAGAACTGAACACAATGATGGAGAATCTCGCACGTCTCCAACTTCAAGCTTTGGGCAATCGCTTGTCCCCACTGCTCCTGCACGACAACGACCGACCTAATACTGCACAACAGACGGTCTCCAAGTTACAAGAGCTGGGGTTTGGAAGCTCTCCGTCATTCGCCATACTCACCAGACCTTGCACCTACATACTGGACTTTTTCCAGTATTTGGATACTTTTTGGCCGGAAAAAAATTCAATACCCGAGAGGCAGTACAAAAGGCCTTGTTTTTTGCCTCTGGTGCAGCCGATATCTTCAAGAAGGGCTTCAATAAACTGTTACGGTGTTGGCAAAGATGCATCGATTGCATGAGTGATTACTTTGATTAAAAGAAATAAAAAATATAGGAAAAAAATTAGGATAGGAAAAACCTAATATGTATATTTTAATTGTTATAACGGTCATAACGTGCAACAATGTTGCATAACGGTTACATAAAAATATTCCAAAAACTTGTATTCCTACATAAATTGCAACGAAGTATGACTGACGTCCCATCGTAGCACAAACACCACAGCGAATGGAGCGTCAGGCCGCCACTGCGACCGCGGTGATGTGTTGTTGCAGCGGCTGGAGCCACGGCTCGCGGTTAGCCGCCACCGAAAGCCGCTTGTGTGTGGGAGACGCTTTAGTTTAATACAAGCAAAGACTCAAGCGTCTCCCACACACAAGAGGCTTGCGGTGCCGGTTGCGGTGGCGCCCAGTTGTATTCGTTTGCAATGCAAGTTAGTCTACAAACACGCGCGGCTATGTCGCGGCCTGCGAGCGGCTGGCCGTGGCCGCAAACCCTACCCCCTCCGCAATCGCGTGTGTGTTGGCGAGCGTGAGGCCTATCGGTGGCCACAGCGCGGTCAGTTGCAAATATTTACAACAGGCCACGTGTATCGCGTTAAATAATTATATATAAATACTAAATACAGACATTTTAATAGAAACCGTGCAAAATTATCCAATACTTTACGATACTTTACATCGTGATTACAAAAGCATTAAAAAACAAAATGTGCGATAATATTGCTGAATATAATAAGAGTGATAAGACGTCGTCACGGTTAGCCTTGTTGTAGTATAGGCGCTTCAGGCCGCCCCTGCGAACCCTATGGTGTGTTGTTACAGCAACTGGAGCCGCGGCTCGCAGTTAGCCGCCACCGCAAACCGCTTGTGTGTGGGAGACGCTTCAACCTTATGACTTGTACACAGTCACGCGTTATACGCGTTTTACGCGTTTGCATATAATATTGTTAATCGCGATTGTCCTAGCATTCTCGCGTCGAAAGGGGAGAGTTTTTGACTATAATGTTCTTTTCTTATCTTATAAGATATAAAAGTGATGTTGATGATGATGTACATTGGGCAGATTGGTAGAAAATAAAATACAAATGTATTTTTAATGTAAAAATTTTCTAACATGTCAATTATTAAAAAAATTAAGGCCCTAGGAGAGGGCCTCAATTAGTAGAGGTATGAGCCCCTAAAGTTTTAATTTGAATAAATATTTATCATAAAGGAAATCATGATCATGACAAACTTTTAGCGACATCTGAATGAACTCCATTTAAGTGATTACTTCTTTGAGAACATCATGATATTTAGTCTAGAATGATGTGCATGCTGCATTTCACTGTTTCATTCATCAACCTCTGAGAGGAACCGCTTATTTTACAGGGTTATTTTGCAATAACTGGCCAAATTTGCGGAGAAAGTTCAGAAGAAGTAATGTAGGCAAATGGTGAATAAAAAATTAATAAAAAAAATCTCAAACATTCTGTCCTTTTTATCTTTTAAATTCAAAATGCGTGGTATTTCATTATTTTAACTGATTGTCATTCATAAATATTTAACGCCTACTATTTTACTACGCACGCGCAAATCACATTCAATTTGGGATAATTTCAAATAAAAGTAGAAGCCTTATTTACTCGTATTTTCAAAAACTGCAATAACGGTATATCATTTTTTATATCGATGAACGTTTAAAATTTGGCTACTCTTTCAAAAATAACCCTGTACATATCATAATATTAGTCGAGTTACAAAAAGAAAGGTAGAAAAAAATTATGTTTTTTTAATTTCGTTGGATTTATCGTTATGTTGTACGTAGTATATTAACCAAAAAAGTTACCTTTATTAGAGAGGAGGTCCGTACCCAGCTGTGGGACGTATATAGTCTGAAACTTTACCTTACGCATGCGAAGACTATAATAAGGACCCATATTTTTTAGATTTTTGATGTGCGAAGTTGCTATTATGAGTAGGAAAAGAAATGATTGTCTCAATACAATAACGAATACAATACAAATAAGCAAGGCAATTACCACCTTAATTAATCTACCAGGATAATATCATTTACAAATTTTAAAATTTATATACACAAAAAACCATAAATACTAAAGGTCTAATATTTTGTTTCATGCAGTCGTTTCGTCGAGAAAATCATGCTAATGAAATTAAAAAGGTAACAACAAACGATTTCATTCCAAATAAATATTTCAAAACAATTATCTTTAAGTTTTGATTTATTTACCTTACTTATATTTATTTCATCATCATCATTGTCATTACTATATTTTTCACAAGATTTTTTTCAATAGAATAAGGGTGAGAAATAGCGCACACCGTCCACCTGATTGTAAGTGGATGCTGTGGCCCATTGACTAAGAATGGAATGCTTCGTTGTCAGTAAATAGAGTCCTTCACAAGTCCACTGCTGAACATAGGCCTCCCCCAAGGAATGTCACAAAGCATATTTATTTATGTGTATAATTTTTTTATTTTTATTTTAACTTTCTATATGCTTTGACAATAATCCAATTATATTTACTATTACAAGAATATGAATGATTTTTATCCCATAACGTTGGTTGTTAGTTTTATTTTTAATGACTTTTACTGACAACTCCTATAATTAAAGTTATGTAAAAATAAACTATTCCTTGAAATAACTTGCCCTTCTCTGTTACTCCGATAAAACCCAAAATAATCCAAAAACATATGCTTTTATGTGTAGATAGTAACCGTGATTCCAGTTTGTTATAATAAGGAGGATAATGATAATGGCTACAAACAATAATAGACCAATATTTGTAGGCTTACGGCGACGACGAAAGTACAGCGATGTTAACTCAAGAGCTTCTCGTGTACCTCGCCATGTTCATACGAACCGAGCCACAGCTGTTTTTAGAGATGCTACGACTCCGCGTTGGACTTATTATACAGGTTATATTCATAAAACTCTTTTAAGTTTTAACTTAGTATATTAATAGTACAGTAGTTATATAATAGTAACTTGGCAGTAGTATTACTTTACCCCTGCCATATAAGGAACCATTGTAAATTTTTCGTTCTGTTCGTCTGTCCGAATTTGCCAGTTTTAAAAGTATTCTAGTTTAAATTTAAAAAAAATCTTGCTACCTTTTATACAGGTTTCTTTAAATAAAAAATATAATAAATACTTATCTATGTATTTTGTATCCCATTCCCACAAGCGATGAGTATATTTTTACGATTGTGAGTAGTGTAATAAAGGTATTTTAAAAGAATTATGAGTTTCCTTAATCCATATTTTTGGATTAATTATTATTTAAAGTGGCACTTTTAATAATAATGGATTATTTTTAAAATATCACATTAAGCATAGGAAATGTCGGGAATTTAAAGTAACTTTATTTTAACGCAATAAAAACTATAAGAGGACTACATCTTACACAATATTAAAAAACTATATAATAAAAAAAAAACTAAAACTAATAACTTAATTATCATACAGTCCTACTCCCCGTGGTATCTTGCCATGAATGCTAGCTGCGTTTACTCGCTGAATGGCTATACTTAGCCATTGAGCGAGAAAAGAACCAGCCCTGTTATCACCGGCAGCAAAGACCAGTCGCAGATAGAGCTCCTTCAGAAACTTCACCGCACGTTGAACCCACGGACCGATAGTCTCTACAGCAAATGACACAAATATGTAGTCATTAGTTCAATTAGATTTAGATTAATTCAATTTTCATTACAAATATTTTTATATTCCCTCTTTGTATTTAGAACATAGACTTGATTAAATAATTCATTCTTTAGTGTGAAGTCATCCTGTTCTGTTCCTAAACAAAAAATACCTTAATGTGCAGGTAATGGCATCAGAGTTGTCACGCACATTGTCTTGCAATGGCGAAGAGGCTTCCGAACATTTATTAAATTTATCCCCATTCGAGATGAAGAATCTACTATACCACATTCTTAGTGGAAAGGAGTTCGCGATCAACAGCGGCAAGTTACATTTATTATTTTTTTGTAATTTTTTTTTTACTGTAGAACTAAGAAAGGTTACCATATACAAATAATAAATCTGAAAAAATGATTAACTCTATATTAATATGTAAAAAAACCTGTCCAATCCGTGAGGGATGCTTTTGGAATCGTGATTTGGTTCGGTTCATATAATCCTTGTAAGAGGATAAAGGTAAATAAAGAAATCAGTCCTCCAAAAATATATCAAAGATACCGTCGCCGACCACAGTGTTACCATAATTTAAAAAATTAAGCAATTTGTAGCAAAATTCACGTATTTTAAATAGCAATAACATTTTCGTATTCATTAATAAAAAGATCTTTTATTTTTTTGCTAGTATTATTGCGGTACCTAACTGTCCCTTGCGGATCGCATAAGGCGTTTTTACATATTACATGATATATGTCCTACTACAGGTAATTTATATTGCTTACCAACCTTTAATCTGACATGTTGATATACTGTAGACTCTTCTTAAAAGAACATACGGCATCAGCTATATGTTCTTTTAAGAAAAATGGACGTTCCTGGATTACTACCAAAGATGATTCGCGAGGTTATGGAAATTAAAAAATATCCTAATTTCAATAGAGAAGATGGCTGAATCCTACCATCTCCTTAGGAATCCCATAATTGAGAAAATAAAAACCAAGCCCAAGCATGCTACTGCAAGACTTCAAGATACTGTAAGCTCGTTCTGAGTCGATTTTATTTTATAGAATAAGGGTGAAGAACGAGCACACAGTCCACCTGATGGTAAGTGGTTGCTGTGGCCCATAGACATCTACATCTATCTTCGTTTGCGAGTCAAAATGCAGATGCGCTGTCACCCGTGAGGATTAAGATAGAATGCCACTTTTCCAGTAAAATGAGTATCCTGTTCTCTACACTCACCATACGAAACACAGCAGCATTAAGCTGCTATTTTACGCTGGTATTCTGTGAGAGCGTGGTCCTACCCCGGTCGAGCGGACCCATTCGTGCTACAACTATACTATTAATATAGCTGCAGCATGACTCTACCACGTAATAAAATCAGACCAAAGATTAATATTTAAAAGTTTTATTTATATTTAATTCACGACGTCTTGGGTGCTTTGCAGCCACCCACGGTCACGGCGGGACTGAGGTGATTGACGTCCCCATGTCAAAGATATATCGTAGTAACTTTAACTTTTAAATAATTACTTTTAGTCCAATCTACGCTGAATAAGTTTACTGTGTCTTGAAGTCTTGCAGTGGTGTATGCTTGGGTTTAGTTTTAATTTGATTAATTACAGGATCTTAAAGGCGATAAAATCCTTAAAATTACTTTTATTTAATGTGTAGTATTCGCGTAAATATAAGAAATCATTCAATTCAATATTTTAAATAATTCGAACTTTGATAAATAAAGTCTTATACAAAAACTGACGGGTGTCAAAAACGGTCATGTTTCACCAAAAACGGGAAAAATGCGAACGTATGGAAACACTGTATGTAATTTGTTTTGTTGTTAAATAGTAATTAGGTCTATCATCTTTTTATCCAAGAGTGACGACCACACTTTCGACTTATAATAAAGTGTCACCTCGGAAGTCTTAAAATGCTATAACTAGTTACCAGCATAAAGGGACTCCAGTTCTCGTTATGGCTACAGGAACATACGAAATACAGCAATATATTTTATATTTATTTTTCAGAGAGTAGCCAAATTTTAAAATTAAGTTATTTTGTAAGTTTTTTAATTTTAGTAAGTATTTTAGTTTAATATATAAATAATGATATACCGTTATTGCAGTTTTTGAAAATACGAGTAAATAAGGCTTCTACTTTTATTTGAAATTATCCCAAATTGAATGTGATTTATGGGCAACAACGTTTTTGCCCACCGATCGACCCTTACTAATGTGTGCGTGCGCAGTAAAATCAGTTAAAATAATGCATTACCACGTATTTTGAATTTAAAAGATAAAAAGAACAGAATTTTTGAGATTTTTTTAAATAAGTTTATTTTAACGCAACGAACCTTCTCTGCAAATTTGGCCGGTTATTGCAAAATAACCCTGTATTGTAACAATATTGTCTTATTGACGGAGTTACAATTTTGAATACTAGCTAAATGTACATACTAAGTTTTAAAACAAAATTTATTTTATAAAAATTATGTTAATTGATTGTTGATAAGAAATGTCGTTTTCTTTCCAGCAAACTCCCTGTTTCTATTAAAGGAAAAAACCGTTAAGGATAAAGGCGAGTTTTGCTTGGCATCACACACAATTTGATCTGTGCTTTTGTTTGTGACAAGTGCAATCAGGATAATTTTGATTTTCCCTACATGTGACATGCATGTACATATCTCCACCCATATTTTTACTACGCAAGCAAGCCTGCTTTCAACTTCATAATCTGTGGAATCTTTCTGTTATGTTTATGATTTTTGCACATTTCAAATCTTTTTTTATCTAAATTTATACTTTAATCATATTCATCATGTGATCCTAAGTTGTTTTTTTTTTTATGTCGAGTTATTTAATGTAATAGAAGAACACAGTTTAGCATTCAATTGACCACCAGCATTAATTAATTATTACATTATATAATTTGAATGTCGCTACTATTAATATTGTCTCTAAACCTGATTGGTTTCCTGTTTTAATTTAAATTAATATACTGAGAAGGTGTTTATTTACCGCTCATGAACACAACTGCAACGGGGAATTGCAGGTGCGTTGCCGGTATTTTGAAAAGGAGTAGGCTCTTTTCTTGATGGTCCATAAGTCGGTCCGGAAGAACCGCTGGTGGTTGCCGATTTCACAAATAAGTTGTGCGAGGAAGAAAACTTCAGATAAATCGCACAGTGGTGGAGGTGCCTCAAAGACGAAAACAGTATTTCATGTGAGGCCGAACTTGCACCCACTATTGTCCCGCTCTACTGAGCACATCAAGTCTTTTACAGGCCACTTTGGCTCTCCCTCGCATGTGACTGCGGAATTGAACGTCATTCGATATGTCGACGTGGAGATTCCTATTTTAGCGGTATACTAGCAAACCTGTGTCTTCTGGTCGTTAAACTGGACTACATTTTGTCTCCTCAATCCGAGACTTTGATGGACAAATAGTTCAAACGCAAGTTTGTTCCGGCACTCGACGACGTGTTGATGAAAAATAATAGCACGGCCGGTGTATAAAGCATCGCCAGCGCTGTTATCTGCATATCATTGAATGTTACCGGTTTACAACATATCATTGATATACAGAAAGAACAGGGAAGGCGATAGCACGCACTTGTGCCTGCAGGAACACTAGCATTCACAGGCTTGGAGTCGAAGCATACATAGTCGATTACGTCCAACATGCTCATCTTCAACAAAACTGGTGACACAATTGCATAATTTCTCGGGAAGCCCATAAGACGGATCTTTGAATAAAGTGCTTTGTGCCAAACCCGATCGAAGGCCTTCGCCATGTCCAAACTAACCGTTAACCGCCCATCGAAAAACTATAAGATCAGCAGCTGAGCGAAACCGAAGGAAACCGTTTTGGTGGTCACTATCTGCTGGTTCATCTCAAGGTACCGCGTGAGCTGGTAGTTTACAATTGATTGTATTATTTATTGTGTACAATTAATGATCAAGTGCGTAAGCAAGACAGCAAGTGGCACTTCTACTCCCATAATTTTATTTTTACAATAACCTCTTAATGTAATTTTCGCATATGCCTGCCAATATTTATCCATAAAACCGAGTGTTACGGCCTACGGCTGCTCCTACAAAGCCTAATCAAATAGATATTACTTACCTGTATATGAGGCGACTGCTGTCTCAGGGCTCGGTCAGGCCGTAGGTGTGTATGTGTTGAGTATAGTGGTGGTTTTATGGTGTTAGTGGTGATAGACCTGACGGGACCTTCGAAGTCGGCAGCAGCCCGGACTTCGGCGCCGCTCCAAATTGTGGTAATCTCCAGCGGCGTCACCCACCGTCACCTTCTTCCTTCTTCACTATGACAGTCTATTAACTATACTTCCAGACGCCACTAACACTAAACTAACGCGTAACACACCTCTAATACCGAGAACGTATCCGAACTATATCAAAAGCCACTCGAGCACATTAATATTGTCAAATGCACTTATATGCTAGCAAATTAGAATAACCAAATTCGCGGTAAATTAAGCGCGCATAACACGCAATTCAGACTTTGATCGCAGTCAATGTTAACTTCCTAACAATTTGTCAGCCCGGCGTCGAATTCTAGACTTAACAAAGAAACCTTCGTTGTGGCAACATATGCTAACAAAACCGACTTCAAAAAAGGAGGTTTCCCGGGCGACTTTAAAACGTGCTCTCGATAGCACAGTATTCGAGCAACTCTGTTGCACTCACGTTTTGACCTCGCGCCCTTCTACCCGACGACGCACGGAAGTGGGGCCAAGGTGACCTTTACAAGTCAGCGGGCGGAACGAGTGCGAATGCAAATTTCAAAAGTTAATTGTTTGGCCTAAACACCGAGGAATAACTGGCATACAGTGCCATATAGCATTAAGTCCGCCTTGAATTCCCTTGGTTTTAAGGTGTTGCATTTAAGTTAAAAAAATGTATAAATATGACTTTTATATTTAATGGCCACTAAAGATATGCTGATCATAATTACAGCAAGAATGAATTATAACGATTAAACAATTATGCTAAACAACTACTACAATAAACAATAATACAAAAAAAATGCAGAACATTTTTTGACATTCAACATTAGAGCTAAAATGTTATATTGGTAGACAAAAAATAGGTGCGGGAATGAAACGGATGCGTTCAATTCGACGTACACTATTGTACAAAAATAATATTCCACTTTGAAACAATAGTATTAATGCAATTTCGGAATCGAATATGTCATAAAAACGTTTATTATAACCGTTTCTATTGCTGATTTTACAACAGCAAACGAGTTATTTACATTTGAGGCATATTAAGAAAATAGCCTTGTTAACTTAACTGTTAACATTGTTTTAGCACATACCATTAAAAATATGTAAACGAATATTGCTATAAATTTTTTGTATATAGGAGTATAGTAAGTTAACCTTATACAAAAATTACAATGTGTTTGACGGTGAAGAAAAACGTATTTAAAATTAATTTTAATTATTATTGCTGGTAATTAACCGTTTAGTTGTTACTTCTGTTATCATTTGTACCTAGTCCATCAAAATCATTAAAATAATTTGTAAATAACATAAATTCGTAATCGTAGTACCTATATAAATTGCATTTATTTTTCCATAACCATTTTTATTTATTTCGTTATTAATACAATTCTACTTTTCTTATAACTCAACTTGACTGCTTTCCACTCCATCCTGCCAATTCTCTTTTCTTTCAAATTGATTTATTTTTGAATTTGAAATTAAATAGTGAAACTGCTTTCAGTTGGCCGTGGAAACTTCTCCATAGTGAGCAATAAATCAAATCGTTATGGAAAGAAATCACAGATAATTCTGGAAGGGCAGTCACTTCAAAGCGGGATTGACGATAGTAAGTATGAAATATTAAAAGTCATACCTCCTCCTCCTCACCACAGCAGCCAGTGAACAGTCATGAGCCATGTAACATAGAAGGACATTGGCCTCTTCCGTATATCGCTATTTTGGCAGGCGAGCTGGCGATTTAGATCAGACGTTAGCATCACTATTGACGTAATTAAAGTTTATACAGGTGATTCATAGTGAAAAAACTAAGGTAAGTACCATACAACTAAAAGCAATTGTATCCATCATCATATCGTAGAATGAGTTTTGGTCAAGTTTAAGAAAATGCTGCAACTTAATAGTATTCTTTATGATATTATTATTTTTGAAGTAAACTCTTACTCTTTATTTTTACACCATAATTAGTAACTTTCATGTGTCTTGACTTTATGATTTCGAAATTTGTGACGAATGATTTATTTTATAACTTAATTTCTACGCTATTTAAATTGCCTTTTTTTAAACGACTTCAAAAGAGAAAGTACTTAGAGCTTAAAGATCAATTCGACTGTATTTTGTTAAGCATATTTGGTGATGTGCTGGGTCACCAATTTGCTGGTCTTGCAGGTCGAATGAATAGAAAGAGTAGAATCAGTAAAAGCGAGTAGAATGATTTATTATAAAAATGTGATTTCTTATAATATACTTACTTAAAATTAACAATGTTTTATCCAATAAAAATGTCTACTTTAAAATATTTAGTCTTAAGATTACAACAACGAATAAGGATGTTATTATTAACTAACACGTGATTGGTCGTAAGAAAATCAGCGAAAATAATTTTTGTGTTGTTGGATCCCTGGAAACGGCGCGCACGTGGTCTCGTATTCAACGCGAACGGCGGATGTATAAAAAACCGTGGCTTAGTGGGACACGTCCCATTTTCTTTTTTTCTTTTTTTAGAACTGGTGTCGGGCGAATCTGCATTCTTCCTGCGCGTGTTAACAGCTTCGTAAAACAGCTTGTTAAAGAAAAATATCGTGCTCCACGCTGATAATATAATAGCTCTTTTCAGAGCTAACTTTTCGATGTTTCACGAGACGTCTAGTGTAGCTACACTCGACATGTTACCTTCGAGGTTGCTTAATCGCGTGTCATTATTATTTTCATCATTAAAGCCTTTCACAAGTCAACTGATGAACGTAGGTCTAACTCAAGTAATGCCACAAAGCACGCTTTTGAGCCACCTGCATCCATCAACTTCCCGTATATCTTACCAGATTGCACTCCATTTACCGATACGCGAAAGCCACTCCAGCACCTTTCCTCCTAATCGGTTTTCGGTTCATCGAGCTGCACTTTGTCCGTAACATCTTTTTGTTCAATAATCTAATTACTGCAATCTATCACTGTTTCGTTATTTTATTGTTTGAGAGGTCGGAAAAGACTGATTCTACTGATTATCTTATGTTTTGATCATGTTTGTATGTATTTCATATTATATTAAAAGGATTTAGTATACATGTATAGAAAACATGGAAGAGGCCTATGTAAACATATTAACCTTTTATATACTAAAAAGAACAATAAATATGTGATTTCATTATTTTTTCAATACAGCACAAATAGAGCAAGACCGACAAGGGCAGTGGTTACGAAGGCGCCGTCTCGATGGAGCACTGAATCGCGTCCCCAGAGACTTTTACTCTCGCGTTTGGGGAGTTTTAGAGAAGGTAATGGTCCTCCCTGTAATGAAATAACTATGAGACATTGACCAACTGCTGATATAGTCATTATTTTACTTAATAAATTACTATTAGAAATAATATTTGCATTGAATTAGCTGCCCGGTATTGAATAATTACTAGGCCAAGGCTCATACTTCTCTGTTGTTATATATTTTTACTATTCCGCAATCGAAGACAAAAAACCCCTTTTAATATGTATATAGAACTGTCCATCCATCTTTATCATGTCACAGCATTGTTAGAGATTTTGATTAAATGGGTTAAAAATTTAGGATAAATGTCAAATGTATGAATTTAATATATCGATGGTCTAGAAGACAAACGTGCTAAATGCAAAATTTTGTGGTTCACACGTTTTAATGCCAAACATTCTAAATGATTAGGCCGCATTTTCTGCACTTATCGGAAAGCCATACTGACATCACTTTCGGTCCAAACCGAACCTGTACATTTGTAATAAGAAACATGAGAGCACGAGACAAAAGAATCAAAGTCGCTTATCTACCAATGGTAGAAATTACAAAATGTATTAAATAGCTTTAAATGACTTTATCTATGAGTATTGAAATTTACACAAACTTTAAGGGTGTTATAATGTTAGGTAATTGACACCTAAAACCTACAATTGGTACCTATGTTTGCAATTTAGGTGGAATGTTATAAAAATAAATATATTAATATTTTTGGTTTATACCTTAACTTTCTAATAATTACTTAATAATTGAAAATCATAATTATGCTATACACAAATGTACAAAGTAAACATCTGAATAACAAACAAATGATCAAAAATATAACGTGTGTGTGTGTGTGTGTGTGTGTGTGTGTGTGTGTGTGTGTGTGTGTGTGTGTGTGTGTGTGTGTGTGTGTGTGTGTGTGTGTGTGTGTGTGTGTGTGTGTGTGTGTGTGTGTGTGTGTGTGTGTGTGTGTGTGTGTGTGTGTGTGTGTGTGTGTGTGTGTTGGTATTGTTGTGGTCCCGTAATAATATCCTCCACCTCATAGAGGAAATTAGAACAGGAGATGGGCAGCAGCATCTTCCTGATAATAACTTAAAATAATAAAAAATGCGGTTGCAACCCACCTACCAAGTGTGGCAACTATGGCAAATATTCCCGGTATGAGACAATTTATGTGGTAGGCTTGTGTTCAGCATTGGACTTCTAAAAGGCTATAATGATGATGATGTGTATATTTGTGTAATGTAAAATTTTATAAAAGATCACGGTCTTTTAAAATGCACATAATACACTTTTAGCAATTAATTTAAACTTCGTTTTATAGTATACTAGTTGGCCAGGCAGACGTTGTTCTGCCCTTTCCAAAGACCCTTCCTATAAAAATTTCTTAAATTAGTAATAAAAAAAATATTGAGGGTCACTTATCGGGATAAAAACTATCCTACCTCTCAAGTTAGACCAAACTGCACACACTTGAAAAATTTCATTGAAATAAGGTCAGTAGTTAAGGAGTACATCGCGGACAAACAATGTGACACGTAATTTTTATATATAAAGATATGTGTAGTACGCGAAAAAACCGAGTCGATTCACACCGGCACCATTGAAATTGTTTATTGCAATATTAAGTGTTTGATTTACCACTTGCTGGGTGGTGAAGAAAAATATGTCTGAATAATAAAAATAATAAAATAAATATCGAGGATATGTGAACCTTGAACCCTTTCAAAAGCCTACTTAGGCTATTTTTAATAATAATATTTTTTGCTTCTAGTTTGTTTAAAATGTTTTTATTTCTTCTAGTGCCATGGCCTCGTCATCCAAGGCAAAGTCCTTCAGCGGAATTTGACACAAGAGATGACACCAGGAGAGTTGAAATTCGCTCTCGCCGTGGAAACGGTCCTTAATTCAATCCCTCAACCGGAATACAGGCAATTAGTGGTCGAAGCGCTTATGGTGTTAACTTTAGTGGTTGAATACAAGGCCGTGAACAATTTGGGTGGAATGATCACCGTGGAACACTTGGTCCAGAACGCGAATCAAATATTCTTGGAAGATCAGGTAAATATGATTCTTTAGTATTTATAAACTACGTGTCGTGGTGGGTGCCGTAAGAGGTACTTTAAACGTGGTAGAGCCATCCATGCTGCAGCTATATTAGTAGTATAGTTGTAGCACGAATGGGTCAGCTCGACCGGGGTAGGACCACGCTCTCACAGAATAGCAGCTCAATGTTGCTGTGTTTCGTATGGTGAGTGTAGAGAACCTGAAAGAGCCTTTTTACTGGAAATGAGGCATTCCACCTTAGTCCTCTGCATTTTGATTCTTAATCAAGGTTATATGTAGATGTGTATGGCCCACAGCATCCACTTACCAGCAGGTTGACTGTGTGCTCGTTTGTCACCCATATTTTATAAAAAAAAAATCTGAAAAATAGTTGACCTTGTAGGCCATCCCTGGAACTTGCGCTCGAAAATTTATTTAATTTTTTTTTTGAAAATTTTTATAACAGCTCGACCGATTGAAATAGAATTCCAGCATCAGATCGAAGTCTCAATGAACACTTTCGAACACACAGACACACACATACGGCCGGATGTCCAGCCGGGAATAGTCGGAACGGCTTCTTAGGACCTCAAAACGTGGAGATCTGATGCAAACTCGCATTTTCAAAATCGAACCGAAATCTATAACTTTCTACTTTTGAAAATAATTAATTTTCAAAACGAGAAGTTAAAAAAGGCAACTATGGGAAATTCCATAAAATGTTATGACTTCAGATAGACAGCGGTATAACCATCTCGTTAACTCCAAACGTAAAGTACTCTGACCGTGGACGAACAGCAGAGTGAAAGGTCTCACATCTATGACGTTGCTGCCCTTCTAATAATGCGGTCATCAATACGCTTGTCAAGGTCACGATTAAGGCAAATCCTCTCTGTCCGTAGTTCCATGCCCAGTGCCATACATGACGGGAACAGAATATTAATAACTATAAATATCGAACTGAGAACCGCGTTAGTGGACATGATGATATATGGGTTTGAAGGTCTGCTGTATAATCCAAGAATAAGGATGACAAACGAGCACACAGCCTACCTGATAGTAAATTGATTGCTGCGATCGATCAAGTCACCTTTCAAACAAAAAAGTTAAATCTAAATCGGTCCATCCGGTTGAGAGCTATGATGCCACAGACAGACACACAGATACTCAGATGTATGGTTATAGCTTAAAAAAAAAACGAGAATTCGAACGTTTAATTTTTTTTAATGGTAAATAAATTATAATTTATTATCTAGATTATTTAAAAGTATTTTAAAAATCCATACGATCAAGAATTTAATTTAGTATTGTACACGCGCATATTTTTCCGAGCATATACCATTTCAAGAAGTATCAATTCTCGAGCGTTAAAATCGTATCTAAAATACGATATTTTGTCCAACCTGGCGTTAACATCAATCTCCGACTCTGACTAACAAAGAAAAATGAAAGAAGCACTGGATATCTTAATATATAAACATTTGTATATAAATTTTGTTTATTTCTTATACCGTTCATCAGATTGCACTAAAACTTTGTCAACTTATCGCTTGCACTTGCATAATTAACTTACAATAGGTAGCGCGCATATAGTTTATACAAATTCATTTGAAAGTATATACAGTGTGTCCCTTAGTAAAGTGCAACTCCGAAAGGGGGTGAAACTAGTCCACAAAATATCGACAAAAAAAATAGAACAATCAAGTAACAAGTAGGTACATAATTGATGAACTTTGTACGTATTTATACTAGATCTAGATCTTTATGCAAAATTCTTCTCAAAGAAGTGCGTGAAATGTTCAATTCTTGAGAACTATCACGATTTGATGTTAATGGTTGTTCACGCACACTGAGCAAAAGGAACGATATGAAGGAAACAGCATTGGTGATAGCACGCAGCTTTGTGGAACACCAGCGTTAATAGGCTTGTAGTCGGAGCATGCACCGTCTACAACGACCTTGATGCTCCGATCTGCAAGGAAGCTGGTGATCCAATTGCACAATTTCTCGGGAAGCCCATAGGAAGGGAGCTTCTGAGGAAGCGCTTTGTGCCAAACCCGATCGAAGGCCTTCGCAATGTCCTGACTGTAACTAACGGCTAACGCCTCCCCCTTGGACTCTACTGCCTCCGCCCATCTATGGGTCAGGTAGATCAGAAGATCACCAGCTGATCGACCCCGACGAAAACCGTATTGGCGGTCACTAATCAGCTGGTGATCCTCAAGGTACCGCATGAGCTGGCGGTTAATAATGGATTCCATTATTTTGGAGAACAAGGAGGTGATGGCGATAGGCCTGTAGTTGGACGGGTCTGAGCGGTCGCCTTTTTTAGGGATCGGGTGGGCAAAAGCTGTCTTGCATGATTTCGGGACTACGCCTAGGGAGTAGGAGTACCGAAAAAGACGCGTTAGGACCGATGCTAACTCCGGAGCACACGTCCTCAGCACAATTGGGGAATTTCCGTCAGGCCCACTCGACTTCTGGATGTCCAGGGAGAGGAGTGCTTTGCGAACCAAGCGCTGTGAGAACAGCACATCCGGCATGGGGCACTCAAACCGCGGGATGGTCGGCGATGTTTTCCCCCCGTCATCAAGAGTCGAGTTAGACGCAAAATCGGAGCCTTTAGGTTAAAAGGTCAGCTTTGTCTTTTGCGGCTTGGGCCAGTGAGTCGTCCTCCCTGTGCAGAGATGGTAGTGATGGCATACAGAAATTCCCTTGGACAGCCTCGGCGAGAGACCAGAATGCACGGGTTCTCGAAGGAAGGCGAACTAGTTTCTCGCCAATTCTGTCTATGTGCTCTGACTTTGCCTCGGCAATAACTCTTTTGAAGAACCTGGAGGCGAAGTTATACTTCTTTTTAAATATGCTGGTGCTTACATCCCGAGTCGCCGAAGCCGCAGCCCAGGCTTGACAACACTCCTGCTTACTACTGCTTACTGCGTAATGCAGTCTTACAGGAGCGACCAAACCAAGGCTGAGGTCTGCCTCCGATGGGTACCACAGATGATCGAATAAATAGTTCCATTCCCTGTAGCACCACATCAGTGACAGAGTCAGCAACAGCGCTGGGATCATCCGGCGAGAAGCAAACCCGCCCCCATGGGTAGGATGCAAAGAAAGACCGCATTCCGTCCCAATCCGCCGACCTGTAATGCCAAACACGGCGGCAACTTGCAGAACGCAATCGCGAGGGGAGCGTGAGTGGCACCACACTCCGGATCAGACAATGGTCCGAAGAGCCGAGAGGGGCATCGACGGAAACCTGATATCCGTCCGGATGAGAGGTCAGCAGAAAGTCCAACAGGGAAGGTGCATGATCTCCCACGTCTGGATTTCGCGTAGGCGAAGTAACCAGCTGTGTAAGACCATATGGCAAAGCAGTCATAAGCAGATCTCCCCGCATGATCGGTTGAACGTGAACAGACCGTGGTGGGCGTTAAAATCTCCAAGAATTACGATCTCTGCGGATGGGATCTGCTGTAGCAAGGAATCTGTAGCCATTTGGACGTGGTCGATGAGTCGGTCTGTTTTGGCATTACCGCTATGGGACCTATAGAGGCACCCGTAGACGCGGGGTTGGTCGTCGCTGTCTACGCGTAGCCAAAGGATGGACAGGTCAGAACCTTCAAGACTGTCGAAAACAGATGTCCTCTCTGACGTATACGCAAACTCCAACCCGCGGTACGAAGAAGTGTTCTAATTTGTTCCCCGGGTAGGAGAGATATGAGGTATCAGCCGAATAGGACACCTGAGTCTCGGTTAAAAAAGAGCAAGGCCGGCTACGCCGTCTCTAGATGGTAATGGATAGCGTTAAGGTTGGAATGAAGTCCCCTGATGTTGCTGAAAATCCACGGATGGCGTGACAGGGGTCGCCTTGGTCTTATTGCCCGCTTGGACCGAGCGGAATTCCCGGTCATTCCCGGAAAAGCAATTTTGTATTCTAAATTCCTATATTATAATCATATTGCAATTTATACGATAATATGGGTAGCCGTATATAAAGAAAACACTAATTAATCCATTTTATATTTTCTAAACAAATCATTTTATATTGCTACTTTGAAAAAAAAACAGTTTAATAAAAATTTTACGTGGACGTCCGGATGTTGATTTTATGTGGTCACGATAACTCCCAAAAAAATTGACTTATCCGAGACCGGTTTTTTTATTAGCTTCAGAATTATATCATCTGGTTCACTATTTAATATCAATAGCCTAGTACGTGTAGTTTGTAAATAAAATGGTTTTCAACTTTTATAAGTTTTATTGCTATTAAAAATTTAAAGGCGCTTTCATATTTTTTTAGCCCTTGATAGACTAAGGATACACGTACTATACAGCCTATATTGATTTTATACTTGTGTAGGTGATCGATTTTACTTTGGTAAATATTATTGACTTTCTTTCCCTGTAGGTGACGCTACCTGTTAAAATAATAGAGCGCTAAATTTAAAACCCGTAAATAATATATTTTAAAAGTCAGGAATACAATTTATTTATTTAATTAAAATAATCGAAACGCTCATAAGGCGTGCAGTTTTGGATTTTCTAAACTATATAGGGCTATTATCACTTGATACTGAGATAAATGACGACATAGCTTAAAGGACAAGCATCCAAGCCAAAAATCTAAATTAAGAAAACGTTCCAATAAAATAATAAATAATATGGGTTGGGCGAGCAGATGGTGTGCTCTGGCGACGCAACGCTGTGCTGCGCGAAGGCTGACGGTGCGGGGGGTGCGCTAGTGTGCGGTGGAGCGGCGGGCGTGTGCCAGCTTCTGTACGACAGCGCGCCCAGCGGCAGCTACGGCACCATGACCTACCTGGCGCGCGCCGTCGCCGCGCTGCTGGCGCAGAGCATGCCGCACGACTCGCCCATCGAGTGCACCATCAGCTAGTCACGTCTTACGTACCCACGTAACTGGGACAAACAACAATGCCCACACTCCCTAACATGCTTGGACTAGTAAAATCTAATATAATGTAACTTAATCGATAAAAATCTTTTATTTTTTTATAAAACTATTATAATGCCGCTTCCCATAAAATCTTTAAAAGTTATTAATGATTGTGTAAACCCTCGTAATGTTTTGTATTAGTTTTTTCAAAATTAAATAAATAGTAGTCACTATGTTATCAGGAGACCATTTTGTGAATATCACATTTTAAAAAGAAGTTGTAGAAAATTAGCCACTCCTAACATGCTTGGACTACATAGTAAAATCTAATATAAATATAACTTGATGAAACATGTGTAATTTCATTTGCTTATTTAAATATAATATAATACGGAACAGAAAATTATTTTAAATAAAGTTATATGGTATGTTCTTAATCCGATGCAACATGTTATAATTTAAATTTGTCGTCACTTACAATAGTCGATTAATTGGGTCACTTTTCTGTTTCAAGTTAAATAAGACTTTAAATGTTTATTTGACTATAGAAAACTATAAATGTAATATTTATGTATCTGAGCGTGACGGACACGCAAGTTCAGTGCTTTTTCCCCATCCCAAAAGTGCCCAACGTGCCTAAAGAAGTTTTCACTTCAAAAAAATACTAAATTCGTAACTATGACAAATTTGGACAGGCGCAAAAAGCTAATGGGCTATATGTTTTCTAATTATTAATTACATAATATTTAGTATAAAGGTCATTTCTTTCTTTTTGTTATTTGAGATTTCAATTATTTACAAAATTATATATTTATTCGTAAATACACTGTTTGTTGGTATATTAAATCAACTACAGAAAATACATATTGTTGTTGTACGTGATATTATTTTTCTATAAATAGTATTTAATAGAACCTATTATAATTATTATAGAGCATAAATAGTTAAGGTTATCTTAGAATAATGTCTTGTTGACGGCAATAAAATGTTAGTTTCAAATTTTGTTGAACTACAATATATTATTATTGTCATGAAATCATTTGAGTTTTATTTTTAAAGTTTTATAATTGGAAAGCTAACTTTCCTAGTCCATCGATTTGGCAAACCCCATTAATTTTTGTTGTTTATTGGTTGAAAAGACGAAAGCATGAAACTGTCGTGTGACTTCTTACTATTACTTACTTGACTTACTAGTATATAAATACATTAACCTTTATGAGTAATTAATTCCTTTATGTACATAATATTTATTTAAGTACTTAACCATTATCAAATCAGTTCGGACATGGTACCAATGTATTAAATAATGATTATACTAGATGACCTTTTTACCGTCTGCAAAAAATAGGGTGTAACAGGAACGGATTAGAAGCCTATGGCACTGATATTTTACAATTTTTATTTTTTTTTTTGCAAAATATGTAATTTATCAATCATTAAATTCTACTAATTTTAAGTAAACTTTCCATACTAAAACAATAAAAACAAAAGTTATACATTGGTATACCTACATTAAAAACAACCGCCACTCGACGCACCTGCGGTAGGCCTCTTTGATGTCCTTTAGCAGGCGCATGTGGCGCCCGCGCACTCATTTCAATTTTCAGTCACCTGCAATGATCCACGGCGTGACGTCGTATTGTTTGTTTCCGCGTGAGTATCGGCCGCCCGCTGATAGTAGTTATCGTTAATAAGTACTAATACTTAACCGACGAGCGGCTTGACGGGTGCTCCTTCTCGTGTATCATTTGAAGTAGTCCAATATGGCTTCTTTAATGTGTCTGTCGTAAGCCAGTATGTGGTATGGAATCTACTTCATTCAATGACAATGCATTCATACCATTTCTCACGCGTGCAAGCTTTCCATGCACCGGACCCCGGACCACACAAGGAGTTTTGTCGTTGACTGCAGGACCATGCGCAGGCTAATATTTTGTAGAGCAATGAGTCGACATTTACCCGCGTTAGAATTTACAATGTGCACTGGTTGAGTTTCCAAAACCCATACAAAATCAAGGAATATGCTCATCAAGTTAGTTTTAGTGTTAGCGTTTGGGCGGCGATCTTTAACGACCACATCATTGGTCCAATGTGGATTGAAGGTCGATTGACGGGAGTACGTATCTGCAAATGATACGTTCCTTCGACACAATATTGTAAATAGTTCCTGTGAGCCATCTGCAAGGAATGTATTTCCAGCACGACGGAAGTCAAGGTCATTACGAACAATCTGTACGCGCATATCTGGACATCCAATTTGGTGATAGGTGGGTCGCGATGAACTTGAGAACTGGCCGGCGAGATCACCATACCTAACACCTCGACTTTTATTTGCGGGCCGAACTAAAACTATTAGTGTACACAGAAGCAGCACAAGTGGTAGTGATTTAATGTGAAAAATAGTGATTTAAGCACGCTTCGAAGTTTAACAAACAATTTAAAGACGTGCTAAACGGTGGACACTTAGAACAATTACTGCGATATCGCTAAAAACGTATTTTTTTTTTTTTGTAAATAACCATAATGTAGCATAATTTTGTAAATATCAATTAGTGTAGTTCGTAAAAATGTGGATTTCGATCTTTTAAATACGCCTAAAATGTTGCAGTATACGGTAGGCTGAAAAATTATTATTAGAAACTGTTAATAAATTCATTATAGCGCTTACAACTTTCATTCATTCATTTGTAGCCTACGCCGTTTAATGTCACCTACTTTTTGTTCTATGCAAATGACTTAGGATGAATTGTTTTTATGTATTTTTTGGATATTCCAAAATTTTGTCTATCAGTTATATTTTATAAATACTTTCAAGGATAGCTTCTGTTCCACTTACACAATACCATAGACCTCTATATAAACACTTAAAAAAGTCATTCAGTATATTATGCTTTTATTCCTTTGTAATTTGAAAACTATCATCGAAATGTTTGCGGGTAAGATATAATAATATAAATTAAAAAACAAATTAAACATAAAACAAGACTATGTATCTCTTTTATTACATTTTCCTATAACACACATGGGAACAATTTAAATCTCTACAAACAAATCTAAGCTTCGTCCTTTTTGCCGAAAGGATTCATTTTAGATAACCAAGAAGTGGTGGCCCTGTAAAGAAAATATAAATTGTAGTATGAAACGAAAAAGTAATGCAATCATCAGATAATTTTAAGTATTAAAATATAAAAATTATATGTTCGTATTATTATATTTGATTTAACTAGCTGTACCCTGCGACTTCGTCCGAATGCAATTTATTATGATTAGATTTCATGGGTTTTAATTTTTTTCTATAATAAAAGTAGTAGTAAATTAGCCCCGCCACATACATACGGAATTCAGTTTTGGAATTCCGATTCTAGATTCCGTAAATACATCACACACTTTTTTTTTTCGTTCAGAATAACAAGGCTCTGTTGAAATTGAGAGACGCTAGCCATAAAGACTTCAACAAAAAATTAGGCAACAAGACAAAACGGCGAACTGAGGGTAGGGAAATTTGGAATAGGGCAACGGAACCCAAGGGGCCAGGAGCTGGCCGACTTCATGGAGAAAAAGGGAGTCTTTATGATGAAATCTTTCTTCCAGAAGCGACCCCACAGGAAATGGACCTGGTCAAGCTCCGACGGTTCGACAAAAAATGAGATTGACTTCATTATGACGTTAAAGTTGGCAAAAAATTACTTCGCGTACATCCCCGCTCGATAAAATAAAATGATGTGTCTTACCTAGTTTGAAGAGCACCTCTCGCCGTCCCTCAATTGCGTGCACTATCACCGTCACCACTAATCCCAGCAACACTTAGGGGCGCCTTGTTATTGCCTATACTTGCAGCACCTAATTAGCACTTAATTCCTGGCTAATATCTATCGTGTATCTAATAACTTCATTGCGTTGCTAGCGAGACGTTTTGCTAGCAATGCAAATTTCAACAGTTCGTTGCGGTGAAAATTTTAGAGCACCTAATTTTTAAACTTGGCACCTAAGTAGCACCTAAAAAGCCCCTAATTTTGGGTTTTTCTAAACACAATTTCCTGTTTTTTTATATTCCTACATTGTCATCCGATTCTGAGCTAAGTTCAAAATTTTCTAGTCCCTAGCTAATCGGGAAGTGATCGAAATAAAAACGTGGTTAAATTGTTTTTTTGTTATAAGTTCCGTATTTTTCATATCGATTTAGTAAAAAGCTGTTATTTTGACATTACATTACATGGCATAGATTTTATTTATTTGTATAGAAAATACTCTTAAGTAGGCGTCGCTGACCTCGAAAAAATGATGTCGGTGGTGAATAAATCTTGATAAAGTTACGACCTATATGCATCCCATAGCTAGGTACAAGCCTCCACTAATTTCTGAGAGGGTTTTAGAGCAATCAAATGTCGGCTGCATTGCATAAATTGAGTTGGCAGATTTCCCATGTGTACGAGATTTTTTTTTATAATTTCCCAAACATGCGGTTTTCTCGCCATGTTTCCATTCACTGCCGAACACGTGGTAAATGAGCCCTTGAAGTTGCAATTAACAATTTCATAGTACTTTTTAAGTGTTTATCCTTGTGTGCCTCATGTCTCCAGCCTTGTAGGGATAAGCAGTGTAAGTTGGTCTGCACTAAATAGAACGACGTACACGTGACCACCGCCAACACACGGCAGCACGGCTGCCTCTTCTTTGCTCTAAAACCCTCTCAGTAATAAGAGAAGACCTGTGTCCAGAAGTGGAACATATGTAGGCTGCATATTTTAAGAAAAGTTTTCAAATTAATATGTGACCGCAATAACTCTCCTCCACCAGGATTAACTTACGATATTTCATCAGCAGCATTACTCTTATCTTCTGTTTCTGCTGCTTTTAATTTCTCCACTAAATTTTTTCGATATATATTTTTTAAAGGTACTGGTTTGTTTTCAGCTTCCTTTAGTTTGGCAACTTTCGATAGAGCTTCGTACCAAGTTAATCCATACCATTCTATTTCTTCAGGTGTATACTGTAACATATTAAAAATGTTAATACATTATTTCACGTTTTCTGTGTTAATTTATCTCATTGTTTGGTGTGAAGGATAGTTCTAAATATCCCATTACATACAAACACACACACACACACACGCACGCACTCGAACGCGCGCGCACGCACGCACACACACACATACACACACACACACGCACACACACACACACACGTGCGCGCGCGCGCAAACACACATACACGCGCGCGAACGCACGCACGCACGCACGCACACACACACACACACACACACACGCACACACACACACACACGTGCGCGCGCGCGCAAACACACATACACGCGCGCGAACGCACGCACGCACGCACGCACACACACACATACACACACACACGCGCGCACACACACACACACGTGCGCGCGCGCGCAAACACACATACACGCGCGCGAACGCACGCACGCACGCACGCACGCACGCACGCACACACACACATACACACACACACACGCACACACACACACACACACGTGCGCGCGCGCGCAAACACACATACACGCGCGCGAACGCACGCACGCACGCACGCACACACACACATACACACACACACGCGCACACACACACACACACGTGCGCGCGCGCGCAAACACACATACACGCGCGCGAACGCACGCACGCACGCACGCACGCACACACACATACACACACACACGCGCACACACACACACACGTGCGCGCGCGCGCAAACACACATACACGCGCGCGAACGCACGCACGCACGCACGCACGCACGCACGCACACACACACATACACACACACACACGCACACACACACACACACACGTGCGCGCGCGCGCAAACACACATACACGCGCGCGAACGCACGCACGCACGCACACACACACATACACACACACACGCGCACACACACACACACACACACACACGTGCGCGCGCGCGCAAACACACATACACGCGCGCGAACGCACGCACGCACGCACGCACGCACGCACACACACATACACACACACACACGCACACACACACACACGTGCGCGCGCGCGCAAACACACATACACGCGCGCGAACGCACGCACGCACGCACACACACACATACACACACACACGCGCACACACACACACACACACACGTGCGCGCGCGCGCAAACACACATACACGCGCGCGAACGCACGCACGCACGCACGCACGCACACACACACATACACACACACACACGCACACACACACACACGTGCGCGCGCGCGCAAACACACATACACGCGCGCGAACGCACGCACGCACGCACGCACGCACACACACACATACACACACACACACGCACACACACACACACGTGCGCGCGCGCGCAAACACACATACACGCGCGCGAACGCACGCACGCACGCACGCACGCACGCACACATACACATACACTCGCTCGCAAGACTGATGTTGTTCTGTCCTTTTCGACGATCCTTTGTCTCTCAAATTTTACCAAACAGCACACAATGTCCAAATTTCATTGAAAGCAGTTCATTAGTTTAGGTAGTTCTTCGCGGACAAACAATGTGACACGTAATTTTTATAAATAAAGACATACATATGTAGTGGGATATATTATGTATGTACTACTTTTTTAAATGTTTGAAAGGTTTGAACGAATGTATTAAACGTAAGATAATCTTGTACTTTGCAAATTTTAGATTTAGGAGTGACACGACATTTAGAGGTAAGATAGTTTTAACTGTCAGACAAAATGCTTCTTAAAAGTATGACAATTGAGTGTGCACACACATACACGCGAAGTATAAAAGTATTTTTAATCATTATATATAAATCTTTACATGATACAATTCCGTTCCCATCTAGGAGTTCCATCTAGGAAGATACAAAAATTTACCTATTTCTGCCGCCAAATAATAGTGTTAGCACTGGTGAGTTCTGGTCTAAAGGGTATAAGACGGCCAGTATTAATGACAGGTTGTAAAGCATTCAATCTTAGTCTTCAGATGTGACTATGTATTTGTAGCCTTTCTTGATAAATGTTTGATGCAGAAATCCGTGGCTGCGATATCCACTTACTATCAGGAGGACTAAGTTCATTTGTCACTAATTTTTTTAACTATGTAAATAGCAGTAGCGTTTTTTTTTTAGTTTATACCTGGCCAAATTTGCAGAAAAGGTTCAGAATAAGTAATAAAGACAAATGGTGTAGAAATATTAATTGAAAAAATCTCAAACATTCTGTCCTTTTTATCTCTTAAATTCAAACAATGCATGGTAATGCATTCTTTTAACTTATTTTACTGCGCACGCACACATTCGTAAGGTCGATCGGTAGGAAAAAACATTGTTGCCCATAAATTACATTCAATTTGGGATAATTTCAAATAAAAGTAGAAGCATCATTATCTATATATTTGAAGTTAAGTTTAAAATTTGGCTACTCTTTGAAAAATAACCCTGTATATTCATGAATGTGTGAGTGAACATTTTTGTATTTTGTTGCAAAATATTACAGAGACTTTTACACATAAAAAGTAAATTGCATTTCACTATATGATAGCAGTAATAGTAGTAGAAGGTTACTAAATAGAAAAGACCACAAGAATATTCTAAGAAAACATATTTAATTTGGCATATTTTTAGGTTTGTAGCTAATTCATTATTTAAAGTATATACTTACTGAAGATAAATAGGTTTTATACTCATCATAAATTTCCTTTTGTTTCTTTGGATTATGTGAATATCTTGGACATCCATTCATTAATTCTATTAGAATTTGTTTCTTCAGTTTCAATGCAAGCATTGATACAAGGTCACAGGCAGGAGTCTTAAGCAAATAGTGATCGAAACCATAATGGTCATTGATTAAGTTAATAGTTCTATCTGTTACTGTGACAGATAGATGGGTGTTCAGAACTTCTGATCGCACAACAGTACGCTTCAGCACAGGCACCCAATAGTGAGGTACTCTGCGCCTTCTTGGATCACGCTTTTGAAAACCTAAAATAAAAATTCACACAAATACAGCTTGCATTTGCACATTTTACTTACATATTTGTGTATATATCTCATAGTAAAAAGTTGCTAATTGTTACTTAAGAAAAAAGATTTTACGGTGTTAATCTTTAGAAGAAACAGTCTCAAAAAATAGGGACAATCACTATAAGATGATGAAGGAGATCTCAACATGCAGGTATCATATATGGTATGTTTATATTTGTAGCACAAATGGGTCAGCTTGACCGGGGAAGAACCTTGCTCTCACAGAATACCAGCGTAAGATAGCAGCTTAAGGCTGCTGTGTTTCGTATGGAGAGTGTAGAGAACCAGAGACCCTTTTTACGGGAAATAAGGCATTCCATCTTAGCCCTCAGTGGTGTTAACGCATCTGTATTTTGATTCTTAATTGAGGATAAATCAACATATATCCTTGATTAAAAAAAATTATGAAGCTGTGGCCTATAGGCATGTAGGTGCCTATGGGCCACAGCATCCATTTACTATCAAGTGGACAGTGTGCTCGTTTGTCACCCTCATTCCACAACAAAATTGTATGCTAAAAGCTAAGAAATATTATATTACTATTTACTATAGTGTATAATGCAGTCCTCCGACGAGTAATCCGACATGACCAGAGATAGATCAGGCGCACATAGTCATAATTAATTATGTGTGTTAAACATTAATTTTCACTTTAAAACCCGAGATTTTGCAAATACAAGTGGGATTTGTGTTGTTGTTTTTCAACACATGTTATTTTTTTACCCTTTTGAATTGACTAAGGAATATGACAATCTCATTGTTATTGATTGATTTTTAAGAAGACGATTCTGTAACATGGTAGAGCCTTGCTGCAGCTATATTATGGCGCTCTATAAAAGAGCTTGACCAAGGAAGCACCACACTTAACAACTTAATGCAGCTCTATGTTTAGTATGTTGAGTGTTAAAAACCAGATACCCTATTTACTTGTACGAGGCATTCTAGTCTTAGTCCTCAGGAGTGACAAGGCATCAACATTTTAATTCTTATTTGAGTAATGATTCTCTTAAGAGGTCTCTCTTTGGGCCACAGCATACACTTACCATCAAGTGGACTGTGCACTCATTTATAAACCTTGTCCTATAAAAAAAAATTCAACATTTATATAGAAACATTCCTGAAGTATAACTTAATAAAAAGAATCATCAAAATTGGGTCACAGTAGACAAAGATATCCACATTTATTTCAAAAGAAAAAACTATACAGTTTAATTTGGTATGTAAATAAAATTATAAGCCACGCTGATTTGAAAACCGTTGCACCATTGTTCATTTTTAAACACTATTTTGCTGTTTACAGGTCGTAAAAATAAGGGATGCATTTATTTTACCAAAAATGCAGGATAATAAATGACATCTATTTCATATTCAAATGATGTGAGCTAATTGAAGTAAAGCCAATACAATGAAATCAAAATAACTCGGATGTCAAGGGAAATGATAAAAATTTCGAGTTAATGTGTTAACAAACTTTGAAATGAATAGATGAGTAGGTAAGTAAGGAGTTTCTAAATAAGACTAAAACACTAGAATAAGATTTAAGTAAAAAAGTAATAATTATTCAAATAAGTTTTTCATAATATATCTTAATTAGTCATAGGTTTAATAGAGATCAATCAGTAACTAGGTGATTGAGTAATGTATCTAAATCCAATCTACCTTACCAACATAGTAGGAACTTAATTAGGAAGGTATTGTCCAAAAATATATTGGTGGTGATGGTGATGATGATGACAACTGTATTAAGTAAAACAAAATTTAAATGCTCCTCTCAAATCAACTTGCTAATAAACAAATACTTCTTATGAACCAGGAGAAAAGTATGATACAAAAATCAATTATTTTCTTAAATTTATCTATCATAACTTTATCTTTCTTTACCTAGGTAATTAAATAAGTTTTTGTTTAAAATGAATCAAAATTAATTATAGCAAACACACTTGTCGGCATTGTTGCACAGATGCACACTCGCATGCATCACATAGCCGCGGATTGCAGTATGCGTACAGTTAGAAGCTTGTCAATTGTTATTTGAATAATCATGGTGTGGAACTATTAAATCGACAATCGAATGCGCAATAAATGTGCAATAGCACAATTTTCGGGTTGGCTATAGATATCCAGTACTTGATTTTAATTATGTTTTCAATTTAGGAGGCTTGTCTGGGCTAAGCATGAACCTTTTAAACTGTTTTTGAATGTCGGAAATGAGTTTTGAATTAATTGCGATAAATATAAATTTCACTTAATATTCCATATAACGAAACGCAAATATGAAATTTTGTAGTTGTATGAGATTAGATGTCAAAAACCGACGTAAAAAAGTGTGAAAGGGGACGGTGTTGATGGCCATAATTTGGGCAACCGTAAATGTCAAATATAATATATTATCTATGATGTCAAATGTCAATTGTCATTCCGTTTCTCTAGTGGTCACGCGAATGTTCTCTCATGTGCTTAGTGCTGTGTTTTCCCCGTTTTTGCGATGACTTCTGCTCTGTTTTTGAACTTTTTTATTTGATTTAAAATTACATTGTTTCATTTACCATTATCATAGCCGAGTTTAGGGAAACCTGATTTTATAGATAAGATAGATTGAATCTGTACTGAAACTGAATCAGAAACAGAAACTTTTTTATTCAATATAGATTATATATAATACTTATTGAAAGTCACTCTTTTGTATAATTACCACTGGTTCGAAAAAAAACCTCTGTCCTGGGAAGAACCAGCAAGAAACCCAGCGGGACTTTTTTTTTAAATAACAGCTTACAGTCATGTATGTTACACAAATTAACAACACAACAAATTAGAAATAGCTTGGTAGCGATCACCTAATTTCCAGGGGTTATTTTCATCTATAAATTCTTTAATATTATAATAACCCTTTTTATACAAACTTAGTTTAATAAAGTTTTTGTACTTTGAGCAGGTCAAATTTTGTATATTTTCTGGAATTTTGTTGTAAAAGTGTATACATCGCCCCAAAAATGAATAACTGACTCAATGGAGTCGAGTAACTGGTACTACAGAACACCCCGAATGCACGTAGTCTTGTCTGCCCTACCCCTAGAGTATTTTAGGTGCGGAGAGAGAGCAGCTCCCGCCCGCTGTAGCAAATCGCAGGCCCCTGTGTGAGCCGTAGCGGCTGAGGCTTCTCGCCAAAGGCGACCAATAAGCCGAAGCTGCGGAGATGAGCATGGGTGCCTGTGATTTGCCTGTGATTCGGCGCTGCGGGAAGTGCAGCCTTGTACGCAAGGGCTGCACTTCCCGCAGCGCCGAAGCCGTTGCAGAAGTAACTTTGTGTCAATATTCCTGTGTAAAAAAATGAGGTTATGATTTTACAAAAAAATTATTACTCATAAACTATACATTTCCGCAAGAGGGGAAGGGTAGAGGAGGCTTCCCCTGAACCTGAATCCGTACGCGAGTACCGGATGTCTATAGTTTAACCCAATTTTCGATTCAGTCAATTGCTTTTTGTAACAATCGCCCATCGCTAAAGATGAGACGTATTTACGCTACCAGGTTTAAAAACCAGGTATTCACTTCAAAGTACGGCGCCCTGTTACGAGCAAAAAATACTTGCAAGTATGAAAATACTTGCATAGGAAAATCATCCATATCTCAATAGTAGTAAGGAACTCAATCGTATTTGTTAACGAAAATACTTAGTACTTCAAAGTATTTTTTTTTATTTATACGACTTTGCTCCTTATTCATAGTAGGATAACATGGAATACGGGTGAAATTCCATGTTCCACGGGCTGGACACGTCCCTCGCGTCGCAATGAGACGTATTTACGCTACCAGGTTTTAACTTTAAAGTACGGCGCCCTTTTACGAACAAAAATACTTGCAAGTATGAGAATACTTGCATAGGAAAATGATCCATATCTCAATAGTAATAAGAAACTCAATCGTATTTGTGAATTAAAAATACTTTGAACTTGAAAGTATTTTTTTTATTTATACGAATTTGCTCCTTAGTCATAGTAGCCTAACATGGAAAGCGGGTCGAATTCCTATGCAAGTATTCTTCCTTATATATTACTATACTCTTTGCAAGTATTTTCAAACTGACACCGCCGCTGGACACGTCGCGTAAGTAGCTAGTAAGTAATAAGAATTATGTTTATATTCGGGGAAGTAAAAGTTTTGTTTCGATTTCTTGTAAATTCAATTATTATTGTGAACTGATTACGTAACCTACTGACCGTGACCTAATTTTTAAATAGTTATTTCGCGTGTATATTGAATTTAGAGACAGTTTTAAAACTTTTATTTATTAAGAGTCCTAAGCCGAAAAGTAGGAAGGAAAGATTTCATTTCGTTACCAAAAAAAATTTAAAAAGGTACAGTATAAATTTTGGCCCGAATCAAATTAGGCATTCATATATATATTGACATTAACAAATACTTTCAAGTATTTTTAAAACCTGGTTTTTGACCCTGGTATTTTTCCATACTCGTACTTAGAAGCCCTGGTATTAAATTTTGCAAGTATGTCTCATCTCTACCCATCGCTATTGCACACATTAATTTATGCTATGCATGGACTGTATGGTACAAAGATTTTTTACAATTATTATAAATCAGCTGTTTTTCTCTTATTCATAGGCTTCAATTTGTGAGTTTATTCCTTAATACTTTTTTAAACTTGACAAAGGTTGGTAATATTTGTAAAAACTATAAGTTTATTTGTTGCATATATAACAAAAATAATAATCATTAAAATTGATACTTACAATAACCTTAAATATAAAGCAAAAACATACAAATGTCAATGAAAAGCTGTAATTATTGAAATAAAAACTTCCCCTTTTGAAGTGACCAGTTCAGCACCAATAAACTTAAGCTTGAACTTTATGATTTTATTACAATCTTTTATAATGTTATAAAACTACTAACCTTTAATCACAGCTTCACCACCCCATATACCCTCGTGAATTTCGGCAGGATGTTTCAAAGGAATAGGTATATTTTGTACGGGTAATGTTTCACCAGTCAACTCGTCGCGTTTCCACTTGCTCTCCTGCGGAATGAAATGCACCGCAGCAGGCTTGAGGACTTTCCATTCACGCCAAAATTTCTTATAAGCTTGAGGTAGCTCAGACGCAATACCAATTTCAAATCTGCTTTTCTTTTTAAATGCCTTCGATATCTGACGTGCAGTAGCCTAAAAAGAAAAATTTGTTCACAAGAATATGAAATATTCGAGATAGTTGCATCTGGAAACAAAATATTGGTGATGTAACATAAACTTTAGAAAATGATTTGCAAACAACTTTGTTACCTGAATACGTGATGATGCCATTTAATAATTCAGTACTAACAAAATACAACATAAAATTTATCATTCAATGAAATTAGTTGGTAAGTATATTTACTATCCTTCACAGACTAATATGATGCTTACGCACTTCAACCTTGCTACATATATATTTATCTATGACTTCAACCAACTTCAGCTATAATTTTTGATTTTATAATTGGCTTTACGGCTCTGGATTCTAGCCCTTCTGAGCCTAAAGTTACAATGTATTATTATCCTTCATAGTACACTGCCTCACAATATGTTGATGCGTCACATTGTGCAGCCCTTAGGAGATTTTGATGGCAACTTGAGTCAGCAGACAGTTGGCGCTGGTATCTCAAGGCGCCTAAGCAGACAGACACCTTATCTTGAGAATCACACCACCATCAGAGCACTTGTTTCACCGTTTCCACTAATAGTTCACATGCGCAGATAGTTAATACACAAAATCGTACCACTTTTACATATCAAAACCCACTTCAAACCATTATTTAAACAACAATACAGGAGTAGCAAACCGCTGCCGGTCAAGTTCCCGCCAAAAAAAAAACAATCTATAATGCCTTTTCTACACCATAGACTAATATATAATACTGGAGACTCTACACTACTCGCGAAATAGATCGCAGTAGGACGAGGCGAATAGTGTAGAGAGGTACTTTTCGATTCGCTTCGTGCAACTTCGCTTGGCTTCGGGCGACTTCCGATTGCTGTCGGTTTTTTGTGCCAGAGTCAACGGACTTTGCGAAGTACATCGAAGTTACACGAAGCGTCTCATTACACTATTCGGCTTACGCCAGTTATGAATATTTTTTTTATATATAAATATTAAATATGTAGCTTTCTACATAATTATTTATTTAGTTAACGCATTGACGTCGTACTGTTCACTCAATTAGCTACGTATAGCAGCTGCCTCTTGAACGTTATTCATGTTAAGGGTGCGGGAGACTCAAGACGACTGAGCCATAGATGCCCGTCAGAGTACATGTATTCTGTGCTTCGGACTGCGATCGACTTCGACCATAGATAAATAAATATGTAGCAAGCTAACTTCGACGAGCACTTCGTCAAAGTTACTTCGCAAGTATTGTAGAAGAGGCATAAACTTTAATGCGTAAGCAGCTTATTTTTTTTTCTTATAATTATAAGAACTTTGGTAAGTTACTCTATATTCTTTGATAAGCACCATTCATATTACCTAGCGATACGGATGTGACATTGAGTGAAAAAATCGATTAATAAAAAATCGATTTTTTACTTTGTGATAATAATCGATTTAAGAAAAATCTATTTTTTTATAAAAAAATAATCTATTTTTGCGAAAAAAAAATTTTATTCGATAAATAATCTTCTGGTTTTAGAAATAAACTACAGAACAATTTTTTAATATTATAACTTTGAACAATAAAAAACTAAAAATAATTACTGCCACAAATGTTCAGTGCCATTTAACAATTTATTACAACCAAAATAAACAGAAACGATAAATTAAACTAAGTTTTACGGATTTTATCGCGTTTAATTTAACTTTTTAATCCCCGACATTTCAGGTGCTTTACAGCACGCATGGTCACAGATGGGACTGAGGTGTTTGACGTCCCTATGTTATAGTTGAACCACAAATCCTCGCAAAAGAGCACCGATTCCTATACTACCAAGGATGATTCGCGGGGCTATCTAAATTAAAAAACATCCTAATTTCAATAGAGAAGATGGATGGGTGCTGCCATCTGCTTGGCATCCTATAATTAATAAAATTAAATCCGAACCCAAGCATACCACTGTAAGACTTCAAGATACTGTAAGATCATTCTGCGTAGATCGGACCAAAAATTAATATTCAAAAACTGAATTTAGCCAGGCTAACTATGACATCGGGACGTCAAAGACCTCAGTTCCCCCCGTGACCATGGGTGCTGTGAAGCATCCGAAACGTCAGGAATTAAAAAGTTAAATTAAGCGTGATCAAATCCGTAAAAAATATTTTCATTTAATGTGTAGTCTTCGCGTAAATATAAGAAATCATTAAAAAACCATAATTTTAGTAAACGATAGTTTTTTTGAAACTAAGTTTGAACAAACAAAAAGTCTAAATATCATTATGCCACTAATGTTCAGCATCATTTACATTGGATTAGAATGAAAATAAAATAAAAATATAATTATAAATAATCCGACGACAACCTTTTATCTCAAAACTAAAATAAAAGACAACATTTAAAAAAATAAAACAAATCTTTTTTTAAACTAGTGTGAACAAAAAACGTAAAAAAAAATATTGCCATGAATTTTCAGTTAAAGACTTTAAAAACAATCATTTCACCAAAATTCTTCTTCGTCTCTTTCCCAAAATACGGTTTCGTTTTTTCCTGACAATATTTCCCGCTTTCAAAAATAATCTTTCGTCTGGCGCGGAACTGGCCATCACTGAGAGGTGTTTAAAAGCCAATTCGGTTAGTTTAGGGAAAGTTCCTTCAGAGCTTCTCCATATATTGAGGGCATCTGCCTTGAGATTTGATAGTGGTGCCGCAATATATAGATCCAATTCAGTATTTTTGCCTATTGGCGTGTTGGCCGCTATCAATTTTCATTATAAAATACTTCTGTTAGTCACTTTTACGCGTTTCACAAGACATTTTTATTGTTTATATATAATTGTTTACACTAACCAAAGAAAGAAAGAAAACCACAGAATACTTTTACTCCTAGCAGAGGAAGAAACCTGTTGAAAACATACGAAAAGCGAAACTGTTTTACATATATAGAGATACATAAAGGTGGCGCCGTCTTTTGATTGAGTTATTCATGTTATTGAACTTACTTCACGTTTTTACATCCATCGCACAGGTGACTCTGATTACAAAAATCGATTGAAACGCGTAATTTACATAAAAATCGATTTATTAATAATCGATTTTTATTATACAAAATAATCGATTGCGAAAAATCGATTATAACAAAGAAATAATCGATTAACATGAAAATCGATTATTTTTTCACATCCCTACCTAGCGATAGCATATCTATGCTTATTAGTCTGTGACCATATGCTATTTGACAACATTGAAAATATTCTACAAATTGTGGTCATCCTACTAGATAATAGCGTAAAAAAGTATATTTCACTTTATTTTAAACTAAAATGTGTATATTTTATGCAAAATAAACGAAAATAAAACATGATAATTTTTGAAATTTCATCTGTGACAGGAACGCCCTGTGATTGATTGCAGCTCTGCTGACGTCACACGAGTAAACATAGCCAGCGATGGGTCGTTGACGGTTTTTCCGTTAACGAAATATTAACGTTGATCTAAGTTTGTCAACTAGTTAATCAACTGGTTGAATTCGTCAACGAGTTAACGTACTACTAATGTCAACTTGCAACGTAAACCGTTAATTCGTTGGACGGTTTTAATTCAACGCTACGACGTTCAATTTTAAAAACAATTTGATTCAATGTATGTATTGGAAAACGTTTGATTAATGGTTCTACTTAGATGACCTTCCCTTTATAATTTTTGGTTAGGCTTAGGACTGATTGAATACAATTAGCTATAAACAATAAACCATATTTTACTCAGGCGTATTTAAAAGATCATCTGATTCTATGTGCGCAAATCAATTATTTACAATGGTTTTGTAATTTAGTTCTTTTTTAAATATTTTTTTGGCTTTTTTCATTATTTCGAAATGCAGTCACAATTCACTGTTACGCCAGTACATCCCGACATTTTCAATTTTGTACCTTGAGTAGTCTTTTATTCAAATATACACAATCTGGGGGCACGGTAGTGCCCCTGCCAAGTCGAGCAAAAAAGCGGCACGGCCTTACCATACTTTTCTCGAAGCAGTTCAGGCCATATTCAGCCCCCTATAACTTCGCTGTGGCTAAAACTAGAAACCTGAATTTTCAGTAACCAAGCATGCATTGTGTAAACGCCGTATATTTCAAATTTCATTTCATTTGAAGTAGTAGTTTAAGAATTATAACTAGTCAAAGTGTCTTAATTTTGTCACTCACTGACTGACCGATCATCAAAACTCTAAGGCACTTCTAGCAGACCTAGAAGCTTCAAATTTAGATTTTAGTATATAAATCAAGGAAAAATTAAAATACTTTGTAATTTCGGTCCAGTTTTCTAGATACACCAACTGTATAAATAACTTTGTAATCCCATATAAATCTATAGGATTACAAAGTTTTTTTTTTATATAGGAGAGGGAGCAAACGAGCATGCGGCTCATCTGATGGTAAGTGACTACCGCCGTCCATGAACAACTGCAACACCAGGGAGGGAATTGCATTTGCGTTGCCGGCCTTTTAAAAAGGAGTACGCTCTTTTCTTGAAAGTCCCTAAGTCGTATCGGTCCGGAAAAATCGCTGATGGTAATCGATTCCACAAGGAAGTCGTGCCAGGAAGAAAACATCTTCTAAATCGCACAGTGGTGGACCGCCAATCATCCAGATGGTGTGGATGGTATCGGGAGTTCTGCCGCGATGTGCGTTCGTGAAATTTGGCGGCTGGGATTAATCCGAACAATTCCTCAGAGCACTCACCGTGGTAGATGCGAAAGAAAATGCAAAGGGATGCAACATCTCTTCGCAGTGCCAATGAGTCGAGCCGATCGGAAAAGACTCGGTCGTCGACGATTCGAGCCGCTCTGCGCTGGATGCTGTCAAATGGAAGGAGCTGGCACTGGGGAGCCCCAGCCCAGAGAAGGGAACAGTATTCCATGTGAGGCCGAACCTGCGCCTTGTAAAGTTGCAGGCGTTGAGCTGGCATGAAATACTATCCCGCTCTGCTGAGCACGCCAAGCTTTTTAGAGGCCAATTTGGCCTTCTCTTCCAAGTGACCACGAAATTGCACGTCACTCGATATGTCGATTCCGAGGATACTGATACTGGCTGAGGCAAGAAGGGGAGCTCCTTGAAACTGAGGAGATACGACAAAGGGGTTCTTTTTAGCGGTAAACGCGCAAACTTGTGTCTTCTG